GCCAGCAGCAGCACCCACCAATCAGGGACCCTCGCCATTTTTAAATAAGCCAATAGCTAACTGCCACCTCTGCTTCTGTATGCCTTTGCTTGCTTGCTAGAAAATATAAATACCCAGTAGTCTGTAAGCCAGGCGCGACTTCCATTTTGTAGCTCTGAGTAGGTGCGTGACTCCGGTCACAGTTGGGGAAGTTCGCCCCTGCGCAGGAAAAATCTTTGGCCATTAAAATTTTTATCAATTCGGTTCCGGACTCCGAGAGTGTGTATTTACCCGCCGATCGTCTACAACAGTATCAGGGTGATATTGGCCTCATATGTGTTAGAAAGTATTTTGGTTTTTAAAATTTTTTTATTTATTGAAGACTTGTGAAGTATTGGTATTCTTCTTAAATGTTTACCATTTAGTGGTGAAACCATCTAAACCTAGGCTTTTTTTGTGGGTAGCTTTTTGTTTACTGATTCAGTCATTTTACTTTTTATACTTTTATTCAAATTCTCTCTTGATTCTGTAGTATGTGTCCTATTAGTAATTTGTTCATTTCATCAAATAAATACATCATTTGTTGGCATATTACTATAATGTTTCTTTATAATCCTTTTTTTTTTCTCTCTAAGATTGGCAGTAATTTTCTGTCTTTTGTGTCTGATTGTAGTAATTTGAATCTTCTCTTTTTTTTTGGCTGTACTGACCAAAAGTTTGCCAGTCTTTTCAAAGAACCAGCTTTTGGCTTCATAAAGTTTTTTCTTTATTACTTTTTTGTTATCTGTTTTACTAATTCCCATTCTAATGTTTATTGTTTCCTTCCTTCTGATTGCTTTGGGTTTAGTTTGCTCTTATTTTTCTAGTGTCTTAAGGTGGAAGGTTAGATTTTAGGGAAATCTAAAACCAAGTTCTATAGTTTGGAATCTGACTTTAACAACAGTAGAAACTCTCATTCCAGTGGAACCTTTTTCTAATGTTATTAAACAAAAATATATTTACTCAGCTATTAGCAAATAGCAAGTGTGAGGTTTCTGCCTCATATTTGAGGAGCCAGAAAGCCTTATAATGTTGATGGGAACATAAGGTAGGTGTGAAATTTCATTTTGGGGGTTTACTTCAAAACCTGTGGAGTATTTTATTTTTATACAGACTATTTGTATATTTGTACCATCTATACTTTTAAAAATATCTTCTTTATCTTGATCCCTTGGATTTCCCCCCCCCCCCCCCCCCCCGACAAATAGGATATTTCCCACTGCCTATTTGGGATACATATATCCTCTCATTTCCCATGAAGTGGAGGAGTGGACTTCCTCATTGACAGAACTACTTTGACACCAGCCTTCTGGGTAGATGTGCTCCCTGTTCCTCTGGGGACCTGCTAGTCAGCCAGCCAAAGGACTTCATTACCCTTCATACTCAGGTGCCCGTGTTCTCTGGGAACACCTATCTCAAGTTGCCTTGTTCACGTGAAGCCCCAGAGGGTGAAAGGAGAGGGAAGAGTGCAGGAGTGACCCATCTGGCTGTTCCTTGCTGTTGCAGCTGCTAATGGATTATCCAGAGACTATCTCTTGAGTCCCCTCTCTGGGCCTCCCACTTCTTGGCAGCAGAGCTCCTCCCTATATCTTAGGCTGTGCTCCATCTTGTCAGATCTACTAGTTTTGCACATTTCAAGTCACAGAGGGTGCTGGTTTTCTAGCATACTGAGAGCATTTGTGGGTATGTTTATTTTTAGTCCTGTGGTCTTGGGGTAGAAAGGGAAGGCTGGTCAGTTTATCATCTGGAAAACCCAAAAGATAATGAAAAATTGACTTGAAATGAATTGGTTTTAGGTTTCAGAGTAGCTTTTCTTTTAGCTGCCCTTTGATTGATTAAAGATCTCTCCTTAACTCAGGCTTACTAGCATTGTTTTTGGCAGGGCTTTTGAGTGAGTTCCTTTGTTCAGCATCAAAATTTTCTCCTAAGTAAAGAATTTCTGGATTTACATAATTAATGTGTTGAATATATCTATAGTACTCCTGAACAAAACATGTTTAGTTGTCTTATTGGGATGATTGGAGCTTTTTTATTTTTTTAATTAGTACCCCCCATGCCCTCTTCCCCGTACTCTGCTTTCTCTGTAGTAGTAGTTCTCATGCAACTATATGCAACATTCTTTGAAGATCTATAATATGTCTAGTGCTGCATTAGGCACCAGGCAGAGATTAGCAAGCCAGTGACCTCTTGTTTTTATAAACAAAGTTCTATTGGAATAGAGCCATATCCATTCATGTTCATATTATGACTGCTTGCAGTTTACAAAGGCAGATAGGCATTGTTGTAACTGCTTGTGGGGGAGCATAAAGAAAATAGGTCTCAACTCTCTTGAGTATAGTGTCTGCTTGGTGTAGGAGAAAGGAAAATGTGGGGTTTGGAGTGTAGAGGTTAGATGGAGAGTTAGCCTCTTGCTTTCATAGTTTGTTTTTGTTTGGGGGTCATCAGGTTATCTTCTGTAGTCTCCCTCAAAATTGACCTCCTGCTTTTTTTACCACTTACTCCATTCACTGTGGGTTTTTTTTCCTATAAATTTTATTTTTCAGTTACACTTAACATCCAGTGTTATTTTGTATTAGTTGCAGGTATGCAGGATAGTGGTTAGACAGTATGTACTTCCATTCATGCTTCTGATAAAGCCCTTTTTTCCTGATTCACAGCATGTTTGTATAAAATACTGGTAGCTTCTTTCCTGTTCTGCTTTAAATCCCTTTTGATATTCTTTACTACCAATTATAAATAAAAATTGAAGCCCAATGTCATTACCATCTCTCTCAAAGATAGCCACTGTCCTGACATTAGTGTTTATCCCTTGCTTTTTTTCTCTATGCTTTCATTGCATATATTCATCCCTGAAGAATACCTAATATTGTTTTGTCTGTATTTTAATTTCTTAATGTGGTATCCTGTATATATATATATTTTTTTCCTGCAACTTGCTTTTTTGGCTCAGCAATATATTTGTGACTATCCTGCTCTATATCTTTGAATCACACTTGTATCTGGCATTCTAATATATGAACATACCAGAGCTTATTAATATAAGTAGGCTCTTTTTTGCTAATTAAGTTGACCTCTTTTATTTTATTTTTTTTAAAGATTTTATTTATTTACTTTTAGAGAGGGGAAGCAAGAAAGAGTAACATAAATGTGTGGTTACCTCTTGCATGTCCCCTACTGGGGACCTGGTCTGCAACCCAGGTGTGTGCCCTAGACTGGGAATTGAACCAATGACCATTTGGTTCTTAGGCTGGCACTCAATCCACTGAGCCATACCAGCCAGTGCCTTATTTTTTACTTTTTAACAGCTTTATCGAGATATATATATCATAGAGTTCATACATTTAAAGTATAAAATTCAGTCATTTTTAGTATATATACAGAGTTGTACATTTACCATTATTCAGTTTTAGAACATTTTTAGCACTCCCAAAAGAAATTTGTGCCCATTTGTAGTCACTTCCTGTCTCCCTCACCCTTTGCCCACCTTCAGATTGAAGCCAGTCTATTACTGTTTCTAGATTTGTCTTCTGGATTGTATAAATGGTATTTTTTATGGTCTTTTGTGACTAGCTTTTACTTAGCTGGTGTTTTTGAGGCCCATCCATGCATGATGTGGAATGTGCATTTATATATTTATTTATCCTCACCTTCGGATATATCCATTGATTTTTTTTTTAGAGACGAAAAGGGACAGGGGGTAGGGAGAGAAACATTGATGTGAGAGAAGAACGTTGACTAGTTGTTTCCTCTATGCGCCCTGACCAGGGATTGAACCAGCACCATAGGTATGTGCCCGGACTGGGAATCAAACCCACTACCTCTGGTCTGTGGGAAGGATCTCTCACCAGCTGAGCCACCTGGCCAGGGCCATGATGAGTTTTTAAACTGTTCACTTACTTTTTGTTTGTTTTTGGCTGTTGCAAATGATGCTTTATATATATGGGGGCACTGTTTTGGTTTTTTTTTTTTTATGATTTCTACTGTTCCTAACAGTAAAAGTGTGATCTCATATTATCATTTCCTGAAGCTCTGGAAGAAAAAGACAAAGGTAATGTTCATTACAAAAATATAAGTGCCTCTAGGAGTAAGTCAGACACAGTCCTTATCTTTTGAAGAACTCAGTGCGGTTGGATTAGAATGACAAATTAATTATAAAACCATGGAAGTGTTATAAGTGAGCAAACAATTCTGAGGAAATGCAGAAGAAAGAGAGTTAGTTTTTGAGATGATGTGTACAAAGTATCATAAAGTGACATTTGACGTCAGTCTAGACCCTGGAAAATAAATAGGATTGTAGGAAGTGGAGGTTGGCAGGGAAGAAGGAGGAGAAACAGTGTGTGGAGGCACTGAGAGACGGTAGAGCATTTTCCAGGAACTTAGAAGAGATAAGGTGGGCCTGATCAATGTCGTGGCAGGACAGGAGACTAGTAAGGGTCCAGACTCATTGGTGTGCATCTGCTGCAGGAATCATTGGAAAAGTTAGGCAAGATTAAGACACAGCCACAGTTGTATTTTAGAAAGAAAACTGACAGCATTGATGGCGGACTGGAGATAGGAAAGTCTAGAGGTGAGGCAGTCTTTCATGGACTGTTCCAGTCTTTCAGGTAAGAGATGATACTCATGTTAGTAATGGGAGTGGGAATAAGGAGAAGTGGAGATGCACTTTGAAGATTAAATTGACAGGATTTATTGATAATGGATGGCGAGTGAAAAGAGTTCTAAGATGATGATTCCCCTGGTTTTTCACTTGGACATCTGAATGAGTTGAGAGTTTGATAAACATCTCCCATGTAATTAGGGTTAATTTGTTGCATTGGAAGTTATTGCTTTCTATAGATGAAATACCTGCTTCATTTTGCTCTAAGGAGTAAAATAACTTTTTATCTTATGATCCAATTCAGAAATGAAAGTTTCATACTGAGCCCAGGATGTGTTACTTTAGACTTGAACAATCAAACTACTATTAATTATCTCTTCCTCAGCCAAAAGAATGCAATGGTGTAAAGATTCCTGTTGATGCCAGTAAACCTAATCCAAATGATGTGGAGTTTGATAATCTGTATTTGGATATGAATGGGATCATCCATCCCTGCACTCATCCTGAAGACAAGTATGTAACCCATTTTTGTCACCAGTATCACAAGTTACAGAGGAGTACTATGTTACATTGTTTGTTTGTTATTATAGACCAGCACCAAAAAATGAAGATGAAATGATGGTTGCAATTTTTGAGTACATTGACAGACTTTTCAATATTGTAAGACCAAGACGACTTCTCTATATGGCAATAGATGGAGTGGTAAGTAATAAAATAATTAACTTAGAATCCTTTGGTTTTGGTTTTTGCTGTGTTTCTAGTGTTTGTAGTGCAAGTCAGTTAAATAATGAAAAATATTGATTCTGGTCAATTTGAGAAAAGCTTCATCCTTCAGTCCTTCAGACATTTTTCTATTCCTCTTTTGTGCCAGGTACTGTGAGTTGCTGGAGATATTGATGACTGTCTTTGTTTTTGAAAGGCTTACCACTAAAGGGACAGAATCATAAGTCAATAAGTGCGGTTAGTTACCAATTAATGGGCTTCGTGAGCACTAAGTAACACAAGCAGGGTGTGGAGCAGAGGTGTCAGTCATTTTCACGGGGGCCACGTCAGCCTCACAGTTGCCTTCAAAGGGCCCAATGTAATTTTAGGACTATAACTAATCATTAACTAGGGGCAAGGAGCTCTGTACTGCCATGCGGTGGAAACAAAGTACCAGGCTGGATAAAACAAGGTTGAGGGCCGGATTCGGCCTGCTGGCCTTGTGTTTGTCACCTGTGGTGTAGAGGGAAGGGGGTTAGTGCTACTCAGGAACTTAGGAGATAGAGGGGAGGTGACTTCTGTCCCATTCTCAAAGGATAAAAAATAAATGGAGGTTTGTGGGCAGTGGAGGGGAATAGCTGGGACAGACATGGGGAAGAAGGACTTTCTAAATTACTCAGATGTACCATGCCATTGACCACAGTGACACATTTTTGATGACTATAAGTGTTTTAGATTGGAATGGAAAGCAGAACAATGGCTTGAGAACACCTTGCCTGCCACACTTAAGAGTTTTGATTTTATCTTATAGGCAGTGAATAGTCATCAAAATGACTTAAGAGAGGAATAACTTACTGACCTATGATAACAATACCAAGTCACTTAGATTTTAAATAACCAGCAAACTACATTATCAAAGTTCAAGAAAAATTAAAGTAAATCATCACCCTGAATTTATTTAGCCATACACAAATAGATTTTCTTTCTTTTATATCTAGTAATCCCAGTGGGTAATAGAATGATTTCATAAATCCAGAAAGCTTTGGGTCCAAGAAGATTTTTTTCTGTGAGGTTCTATTTACTCAGTGAAAAATCTTGGCTACTTGATGACTTGTTAAGTTGTAGTTTAAGTGGAATAAAGGGAACAGGACTGTGTCTTATTTGGAGCATATCTCAATTCACATCTAGCTAAATTTTTTATAGAAAGTCTTTAACTTTAGTGTGCTAGATCAAGTATAAAACGTGCCTATTTTTATGTGTATATGTATATGTCGTAAGACATTTTTTATTAAGATAGAAATGTAGATCATAGAACTTGGTAGTTGAAGGAGATTAGGTGATGTCATTTAACAGGAATGGGAACTATCTAAAGAAAATATAAAATAACTTATAGGTATGGACAGGATACTTCAGAGTCCCTTGCAACCCCAGAACTCATTTCAAAAATTTCAAAACCTTATAGTCCAGTTTACTTCATTGAGGCTTATTTGGTGATTTGAATTACATTTGGTTATAGTGATTTAAAAGTACTTTTAGTTAAAACCTTGTTGCCTTTTTAACTGCTGTACCTTACTGTGGTGACAGTAGTAATTATGAACCTCACTGTGGGATGTACTAAGTAGAAATGCCATGAGGTCTTACAGATCAAGAAGTAGTTTTCTTTTGGTGCTTTTATGGGGCATTGTGAATCCCACTGGAGACAATCCTTCTTTTTAGGCTTGGACATAGAGAAGATCTCTCTGATTCTGGTTTTGTAGAAACTAATCAGAAAAGACCCTGCTGGCTGGGACTTTTAGTAAAATGAGCTTTCCTTGTTGGGAAACCATAACCCAGTGGAACTGATAATTAGGTTGTGGGCCCTATGGTGTTCGGTGCTATGGCTTCACAGGATATTTGTCTATCTGACTGCGCTCAGCTTTTAGTTACTTGGTCCAAATTTAAGTTCTCAGGGTCTATTGTCTATTATGAAAAGACTGTTAGAGATACTACTTAACCTTTTCCATCTTAGTGTACTATTTTTATAAGAACAACTGATTGAAAATGTATAGATTTAATTGTAAATATTTTGAATAGTATTATTTGAATATGAAATACATGTTTTTAGGCACCACGTGCTAAAATGAATCAACAGCGTTCTAGGAGATTCAGAGCATCAAAAGAAGGAATGGAAGCAGCAGTAGAGAAGCAGCGAGTCAGAGAAGAAATACTGGCAAAAGGTAAAGAATATGCTTCTTGAAGTTAGACTTTTTACAAGATAAATGGAGAAGGGAATAGGTGGTAGCTTTTTCTTATGAATAGGCAAAGTTTGAATTTAATTAGGATTCCAGAATATTCAAGGACATTTTATGTTTACTGTTGAAGAAAAGTAGTTCATTGAACCCTTCACTCCAATTAATAAGCTTGTTCATTTACACACTCTATAATCAAAGGGAAACTTGGAAATAAAAGGAATTCTGGTAGGAAGAGCACATTGTCAATGCGTTTCAGCTCAGCTCTTAAGCTAACTTTTGTGCATCAATAAAACAGAAATACATTAAGAGTGCTGCTTATTTCTATGGGGTTGTTGGAAAGCTGCATTTCCATAAACATTTTTCACAGATGGCTTGGTGGCTTGTTTATTGCTTCCCCTAAGAACTCAGCTCTCTATGAGGAGGCCTGGGATGTCGTGATCCATATTTATAGGCTTTCACTTTCAATATAGGTTGATGCTAGTAGGTGCTGAGGCAGTGAGGCACCTAGGGTTTTCCTGTGGAGGGGATGTAGAATGGAGTGTGGTTATCTTTGTAGTTCCCCAAAGCCTTGACATTTCTGATGGGTATATAAGTAGGAATAGACTGTCAGCAAACGGGAAGGTTGAGGTCCTTATACCCACTGGGACTTGTTCTCTCCCAAGACACCTGTGTGTGAAACGGGACATGGTTTTTGTAGGGTGATTTGTTTGGTATTTTATTATACAAGGCAATATAGTGTGATAGGCAAGAAAAGCCATAATTTATTGGATAGAGATATTGCACTTGGCAGTTGAAAAGAAAGATAATAGCTCAGGCCTGCAATTATAATACATTTTTATGTTATTTTAATTTGCTGGAAGTATGCAAGTGTATCATCATTTAGCTGCAGCTTATACATAATACTCTAAAACCTGCTTGTATTTATAACAGGTTGTCTTTGATTTTAAAGATGTCTTCTTTCTTGCAAATGTTATGAACTATATTTGCATCTTGAGAAGCTAATAAGCGATACAGAGGAAAAATACAGTTTTAAAAGATTTTCATTGCCATTTAGTTGACAGTTTTGTTTCTTATATAAAACTGTGATAAACTCAGCATTTTGATTTTGTTCTATTAGCACACCTTTATCCTAAGAACTTACCAGAATTAAAACCCCTAACCTCATGTTTGTGTGTGTGTTCTGCTGCATAGGGCATTGAAGAATATTAGCATTTTAATATTTTTATGGAACAATGTAGCATCTTTTCTGTGCTGTATATTGTTTTGCTGTCATGTTAAAGCTTAAATTAAATTTGAGGGGAGGAATCTTATTTCCTCCCAAACAGGAGAACATTGTCCCTCAGGTGAGAATACTTCTCTTTTTGTTATTGTTCTGGCTTAATATTGAGTAATTTACTTTTTTATGGGGAGAACAAAACATTGCCTCTTTTTCTTTAGGTGGCATTCTTCCTCCAGAAGAGATAAAAGAAAGATTTGATAGCAACTGTATTACACCAGTAAGTAGTCTCATACTTTTCTAATTCTTGCTAACTCTTAAGTCATAGGTTAATTTATTTCTTTGTTTCATTTTAGGGAACTGAGTTCATGGACAATCTTGCTAAATGTCTTCGCTATTACATAGCTAATCGTTTAAATAATGACCCTGGGTGGAAAAATTTGACAGTAAGTTTCACATTTTGGTACTTCAAAAAGATTAGGGTGATCATTTGAGGTTGTACTTTGGTATGCTCAATCTTATTTGTACTTTCTTCCCCCCATAAAATGCTAGTTGACTGGTAGGGGAAGAAAAGTATCGAGAGTTATTCGAAATGGGATGCCTTACATGATCCAGTTTTATAAACAGCAGAATTTTCTCTCAGTGTCAATTTTGTCCTCTTATTATCACTATGAAGCCATAAAATTGGACTTAAAATTTTATTTTATTTTTTAAAAGATTTTATTTTATTTTATTTTTTTGGAGGGGAAGAAGGGAAAGGGAGAGAAATGTTAATGAGTGGTTGCTTCTCATGTGCCCCCTACTGGGTCCTAGCCCACAATCCAGGCATTTTCCCTGACCGGGAATAGAACCAGCAACCCTTTGCTTCGTAGCCTGGTACTCAACCCACTGAGCCATACCAGCTAGGGTGCAACTTAAATTTTAAAAATATATATGTGTGTGTGTACATGAAAGTAATTTTTAGTATATTTATTGATTATGCTATTATAGTTATGCCATTTTTCTTTCCTTTACCCACTCTCCATCCTGTACCTCCTTCCCTCCAGAATTCCCTCATGTCCATGGATTGTACATATAAGTTCTTTAGCTTCTCCATTTCCTATATTATTCTTACCCTACCCCCATGTATTTTATACCTGCCATTTATGCTTCTTGTTCCCTGTACCTTTACCCCCAGTCTCCTCTCTCCTGCTCCCCGCTGATAACCCTCCATGTGATCTCCATTTCTGTGATTCTGTTCCAGCTCTAGTTATTTGCTTAGTTCGCTTTTGGGTTTTGTTGGGGGGGTTTTTTAGGTTCAGTTGTTGATAGTTTTGAGTTTGTTGTCATTTTAGGGTTCACAGGTTTGATTTCTTTTTCTTAGATAAGTCCTAACATTTCATATAATAAGGGCCTGGTAATGATGAACTTTAACTTGGCCGTATCTGGGAAGCACTTTATCTACCTGCCCTTCCATTCTAAATGAAAGCTTTGCTGGATAGAGTAATCGAGGATGGAGGTCCTTGCTATCATGACTTGGAATACTTCTTTCCACCCCCATCATGCCTGCAAGGTTTCTTTTGAGAAATCAGCTGATAGATTTATGGGAACTCCTTTGTAGATGAACTGTTTCCTTATCTCTTGCTGCTTTTAAGATTCTGTCCTTATCTTTAATCTTGGGTAATTTAATTATGATATGTCTTGGTGTGTTCTTCCTTGGAGCCAACTTCTTTTGGATTCTCTGAACTTTCTGGACTTGCATGTTTATTATCCCTTTGCCAGATTGGGAAAGGTCTCCTTCATTATTTTTTCAGATAAGTTTTCAATTTCTTGCTGTTGCTCTTCTTCTGGCACCCCTATGATTCGGATGTTGGAACATTTAAAGTTGTCCCGGAGATTCCTAAGCCTCTCCCCTTCTTTTTGAATTCTTGTTTCTTCATTCTGTACTGGTTGGATGTTTATTTCTTCCTTCTGTTCCAAATGTTTGATTTGAGTCCCAGTTTTCTTCCCTTCACTGTTGATTTCCTGTGTATTTTTCTTTATTTCACTTTGTATAGCCTTCGCTTCTTTCTTTATTTTGCATGCGTACTGAATCATTTCTGTGAGCATCCTGATTACCAGTGTTTTGAACTCTGCATCTAATAGGTTGTCTATCTCTCCATCATTTAGTTCTATTTTTGGAGTTTTGATCTGTTGTTTCGTGTGGGCCATATTTCTTTGGGCACACCTGTTACCTTGGAAGAGGTGGAGCTTTATGTATTCACTATGGCAGATAAACCCACTTCACTGTGTTGTGGTACTCTCTGTGGAGGAGGGGTTAGAGAGGGAACAATGGTGCTTACTCTCAGCTGGCTTTCAGTCATTTCCCCTGCTCCTACAAGTGCATTGGGCCCTTCTGGTGCTGATTCCTGGGTGGGTCTGTGTACATTTTAGGATCCTGTTGGTTCCTCCAAGGGACTCTGCTGTGATACTGGGAATTTCCCTGGTAGCTGCTACCCCCACAGGTTTTTACAACCAGGGAATTTGAGACTTTATTTCCCTGTGCTGCAGTCTGTCTCGCTTTCCAATTGTATTTCCCAGTTTATCTGTAGGCAAATGTGGAACTGCCTGATTCAGCAGCAGCTGTTCATCCTTTCTGCCTCAGTTGCCTGTCTCTGCCCCTCCTACCAGTCTGGATGAATGTTTCTTAACTCCTCGGTTGTTGGGATTCCATACAGTTCGATTTTCTGGCAGTTTTGGTTGCTTTTGTTTTTAAATTGGCTATTGTCCTTCTTCTGGTTGTGCAAGGAAGCAAAATGTATCTACATATGCCTCCATCTTGGCCAAAAGTCCTGAAAACAATTTTTAAATGAAAATTTATTAGAATCAGATTACAGCAAGATTAAATTTGTAGGTCTGCCTTTAAAGAATGGCTGTGTTCTTCCAAGTATTAAGTAAATGTAAATGAACTTTTATATAATTTTAGGTTTACAAGCTTTTTTCTGTGCTAATTAGATATGGCAAATTGTATTTAATAGGTATCTTTTATTGATTACTTCTTGGTCTTACATGGTTCAATGCTACATATTTGGAATGTAGTGAGAATAGTAGAAACTTGTGAACTTAACAGATTCTAAAGGCTAAGGTTGACTCAAAGGTTACAATTTTGCTATTTCATTTAGTAAATGAATGAAATAGTTTCGGTGTTTAATCACACATACACGCATTTTAGTAAGGAAGATTTCCAGTTAATAGGACTATTTTAATATAATGTTATTTCAATTTATTTTTAAGATAGTTTTGTTGATTTTTGTGTCATAAACTTGTAGATGAGCTAAAAGTGTTACAGCTGGTTCTGTTTTTTTTATAGGTTATTTTATCTGATGCTAGTGCTCCTGGTGAAGGAGAACATAAAATCATGGATTACATTAGAAGACAAAGAGGTAAAGCTGACTTTCAAATATTTGATTATATATTCTATTAGAAAGGTAAACCATTATGTATAAAATGTTTAGTAAAATATTGTATTCCTATGGTATAATACATTTATAAATACATGTTTTCCCCTCTTTAGCCCAGCCTAACCATGACCCAAACACACATCATTGCTTATGTGGAGCAGATGGTAAGTTTCTTTTTTGGGATTTGATTGTCTTTGCTTAAACCATAGCATCTCAGTGGCTTGGTGGATAGTAATGTGTTACTCATGGTTGCCTGGAAATTCTAAAATGCCTTGCCTGTTTTATCTCTGATTGGGCTTAGTTTTGAGTTGTTTAATTTGTGATTAATTTACCTCTGTTTAATAATTTTTTACATTATAATCTTAATATTCCTGCACATATCTTTAAAATGAAAATTTCCCAAGTGTTGACTCCTGAATGGGTGGTCTTTTTTTTTTTTTAATTAGTTTTATTGAAATATAACTTTTATGCAATACAATTTACGAATTTTATTTTTTTTCTTAAATAAATTTATTTATTTATTTTTTGAATTAATTATGCTGTTGCAGTTGTTCTATTCCCCCCTTCATTCCCCTCCACCCTGCCCCCCCAACCCCACCATTACCCCCCTTTAGTTTATGTCCATGTGTCTCAAGTCCTTTAGGTTCTATATTTCCCATACTATTCTTGCCCCCCCCCCCCCCATCTATTTTCTATCTACTGTCTATGCTACTTGTTTTCTGTACCTTCTCCCCCCGTCTCCTCCTCCCACTCCCCTGTTGCTAACCCTCCTTGAGATCTTCATTTCTGTGTTTCCACTCCTGATCTAGCTGTCCTTTTAGTTTGCTTTCGTTTTAGGTGTGGTTGTTAATAACTGTGAGTTTGTTGTCCTTTCACTGTTCATGTTTCTTTAACTTCTTTTTCTTAGATAAGTCCCTTTAACGTTTCATATAATAAGGGCTTGGTGATGATGAACTCCTTGAATTTGATCTTATCTGAGAAGCACCTTATCTGTCCTTCCGTTCTAAATGAAAGTTTTGCTGGGTAGAGCAATCTTGGTTGTAGGTCTTTAGATTTCCTGACTTGGAATATTTCTTTCCAGCCCCTTCTTGCCTGTAAGGTCTCTTTTTAGAAATCTGCTGACAGCCTGATGGGGACTCCTTTGTAGGTGATTGTCCCCTTACCTCTTGCTGCTTCCAGGATTCTTTCCTTCATTTTAATTTTGGCTAATGTAATTATGATATGCCTTGGTGTGTTTCTTCTTGAGTCCAACTTTTTTGGTACTCTCTGAGCTTCTTGGATTTCTTGGAAGTCTATTTCCTTTGCCAGATTGGGGAAATTTTCTTTTATTATTTGTTCAAATAGTTTTTCCACTGGTGGTTGTGTCTTTCCCCCTTCTGGTACCCCTATAATTCGGATATTGGAGCGTTTATAGATGTCCTGGAGGTTCCTAAGCTTCTCCTCATTTTTCTGAATTCTTATTTCTTCATTCCTTTCTGTCTGATGATTTTTTTCTTCTTCGTTCTGGTCCACTCCATTGATTTGAGTCCCAGTTTTTTTTTCATCTCTATGGTTTTCCTGTGGAATTCCATTCATTTCCCTTAATTTAGCCTTCATATGTTTCTCTAATTTGTGGCTATAGTCCACCAGATCTGTGAGGAAGCTGATGACCAGTGTTTTAAACTGTGCGTCTGAGAGATTTGCTATTTCTTCATCACTTAGATTTATCTCTGGGGCTTTGAGGTCTTCCTGCGACATTTTTGGTCTGTTCTGGCCCTTTAAGTGGGAGGAGCGGCGCCTTGGATTCCCAGGTTGCTGGGTTGTGACGCTGTATGTGGGGGCGTGGTCAGAGCGGGGAAATGGCGGAGCCCGCTATCGCCGCTGCGGCCGTCTATCGCCGCCGCCACCGGCGCCGGTCCAAGCGCTCACTCCCTCACCCGCGTGCAACCATGCAACCTCAGTCAACTCGCTGCCACCGCCTCCCCACTGACTCCTCCGTAGTCGCTCACCCGGTGGGCTGCTCGGTCGCTCACTAGGTCCAATCCTGGGTTTGGAACCCGTGCGACTGGATTCGCGCGTCTGGATTCCGCGCCCGGGTCGACTCCTTTGTAACTCCTCACCCGACGCCGGTTTCACCCCTTACCGGTCGGGCGGGCCGAAGAATTTGTTGTTAGCGGACTTCCGAAAAGTTCAGTTTTCCATGTTCTGGTTGTGTTTTCTGATGCTAATATTTAGTTGTCCCTAAACTTGGTTGTGTGAGGAGGCAGGCACATCCACCTTAAACCTCCATCTTGGCGGAAGTCCTGAATGGGTAGTCTTAACTCCTAGGACCATGTATCTGGAAGACATCTTGTTGGCTGAGAACTGCAAGGAATTATTTGGCTTTTTGGCTTTGCCATCTGTTTGTGTGCTCCTTTGGACTTTCCTTTGTGCTAATGTCTTGGGGTTTTTGTTTTTGTTTTGGTATTTTCCTGTACCTTTCATTATGGTAAGGAACTTCTCAAAATACTCACTGTTCTGTATTTTGTCGTTGATAGCTGATCTCATCATGCTCGGCCTTGCTACACATGAACCCAACTTTACTATTATTAGAGAAGAATTCAAACCAAACAAACCCAAACCATGTGGTCTTTGTAATCAGTTTGGACATGAGGTCAAGGACTGTGAAGGTTTGCCAAGAGAAAAGATGGGAAAGGTAAGAGTTTGAGGTGGTAGTTGCCTCATTTAAAAATTTTTAGTTTTTTAAATTCTACTTCTGTATCATGATAAAACATACTATGCAGGAATTGGCAAAAGTAGGTTTATAGTTTATATGGGAAAAGACTCTGGTTAAGATTATAATAATACAAGAATAAACTTCCGCATATAACTGTAAACCTACTTTTGCCCACTCCTGTATATTTTTATTGTGAAAGAAATACAATATTAACCATTTTAAGTATACAATTTAATGTAAATAAATATATTAAGGTTCTTTGTTTTCAAAATGGATAGAGAAGACTATGATTGATTAGATTTTTACCTACTGCTCCATTTCTCTTCACAGAGATGTATCTTTTAAATCTCTTTTTAAGTTTTTTTCACTTGTTCTTTTTTTTCAATTACATTTCACATTCAATATTTTATATTAGTTTCAGATGTATAGCATAGTAGTTAGGCAGTTGTACAATTTATGAACTGATCTCCCAGATAATGCCAGTACCCACTGGGCACCGTACATAGTTATTGCAATAGTATTGACTATTCCCTATACTGCACTTTCCATCCCCCTGAGTATTCTGTAACTACCAAATTTGTAATTTCTTACCTTTTTCACCCAGATTTCCAATCCCTGCTTCCATCTGGCAACCCTGTTTATTCTCTGTATCTGAATCTGTTTGTTTATTTTTTAATTAATTAATTTTTTAAAAGATTTTGTTTATTTTTAGAGAGAGGGGAAGGGAGGAAGAAAGAAGGGGAGAAACATCAGTATGGGAGAGATACATAGATCAGTTGCCTCTTGTACACCCCCAACCGGGGACCTGGGTCACAACCCAAGCATGTGTCCTTGACTGGGAATGGAACTAGCAACGTTTTGAATCATAGACCAGAGTCAGTCCACTGAGCGACACCAGCCAGGACTCTGTTTTGTTTGTTTATTTTGTTCCTTAGATTCCACATGTAAGGGAATTCATATGGTATTTATTTTTCTCTGACTTATTTCACTGAGCCTAATACCTTCTAGGTCCATCCATGTTGTTGCAAATCATAAGATTTCATTCTTTTTTTTTAATGGCTAAGTATTATATAATATGTATATAGCACTTCTTCTTTATGCAGTTGTCTGTTGATGAGCACTTACGTTGCTTCCAAATCTTAGCTATTGTAAATAATCTTGCAGTGAACACAGGGGTGCATATATTCTTTTGAATTAGTGATTTGGATTTGTTTAGATAAATACCCATAAGTGAAATGGTAGGTCACATGGTAGCTGTATTTTTTATTTTTTGAGGAACCTCCATATTGCTTTCTATAGTGGCTGCACCAATTTTCAATTTCACAAACTGCGTGAGGGTTCCTTTTTCTCCACATACTCACCAACACTTTTATGGATTTACTGATGATAACCATTCTGACAGGTGGGAGGTGATATGTCATTGTGGTTTTAATTTGCATCTCTCTGGCAATTGGTGATATTGAGCATCTTTTCATATGTCAGCTGGCCATCTGTATGCCTTCTTTGGAGAAGTGTCTATTCAGGTCCTCTGCCCATTATTTAATTGAATTGTTTTTGTTGTTGAGTTGTCCAAGTAGTTCATAAATTTTAGATATTAACCCCTTATGAGATATATCAATATCATTGGCAGATATCCTCTCCATACAGTAGGTTGCCTTTTTGTTTTATTGATGGTTTCCTTTGCTGTGCAAAAACTTTTTAGTTTGGTGTAGTCTCATTTATTTCTTGTTTCTTTTGTTTCCCTTTCCCAAGGAAATATGTCAGAAAAAAATATTACTTAACAGCAATGTCAGAGTTTACTGCCTATGTTTTCTTTAAGGATTTTTATGGTTTCAAATCTTACATTTAAGTCTTTAATCCATACAGTTTATTTTTATATATGGTGTAAGAAGGTAGTCTGGTTTCATGTTTTTTGCATGTATCTTTCCAATTTTTTACAAGACTATTTACTGAATAGACTGTCTTTATCCTATTATATGTTCTTACCTCCTTTGTCATGTATTAATTGACAGTATAGGCCTGGGTTTATTTCTGGGCTCTCTATTCTGTTCTGTTGCTCTATGTATCTTTTTATGCCAGTACAATGTTGTTTCCACTACTATAGCTTTGTAGTATAGTTTGCTATCAGGTAGCATGATACCGCCAACTTTATTTTTCTTTGTCAAGATTGCTGTGGCAATTTGTGGTCTTTGTGATTACATATAGATTTTAGTATTATTTGTTCAAGGTCTGTAAAAAGAGCCATTGGTATTTTGATACAGATTACAATCTATAGAGTGCTCTGGGTAGTATGAACATTTTAATGATGTTAATTCTTCTTCATGAGCATGGTAAATGTTCCATTTATTTGTATTTTCAGTCTCTTTCTTTATCGTCTTAGAATTTTCCAAGTACAGGTCTTTTACCTTTCTAGTCAAATTTATTCTTAGGTATTTAATTTTTTGATACAATTGTATATGGGATTGTTTTCTTAATTTCTGTTTGTGGTACTTCATTATTGTATAAAAATGCAGTCGATTTCTGAATATTAATTTTTTTAAAGATTTTATTGATTTATCTTTAGAGGGGAAGGGAAGGAGAGAGGGAGTGAAACATCAATGTATGGTTGCCTTTGGTGCGTCCCCTGCTGGGAACTGGCCTACAGGGAACTGGCCTGCAACCCAGGCATGTGCCCTGACTGGGAATCAAACCGCGATTCTCTGGTTCGCAAGCCCACACTCAATCCACTGAGCTACACCAGCCGGGGCTGAATATTAATTTTGTAGTCTACTGAATTCATCAGTTCTAGTAATTTTTTGTTGGCATCTTTTGGATTCGCTATATATAGTACTGTGTGTGTCATTTGCAGATAATGAGAATTTTGCTTCTTTCCAATTTGAATGCTTTTTTTCCCCTTGTTTAATTGCTGTGGCTATGACCTTTAATACCTATGTTGAATGTAAGTGGTAAAAGTGGACAACGTAATCTTATGGAGAATGGTTTTAGTTTTTTCCTCTTGAGTGTGATGTTAGAGTTTGTTGTATGTGGCCTTTATTATGTTGAGGTATGTTCCCACTAGTGATTCTCACTTTGCTGAGAATTTTTATAATAAATGGATGCTGAATTTTGTCAAATGCTTTTTCTGTATCTATTTATATGACCATATGATTTTAAAGTTTTTTTTTAAAGATTTATTTATTACTTCTTAGAGAGAGGGGAAGGGAAGGAGAAAGAGGGAAACATCAGTGTGTGGTTGCCTCTCATGAGCCCCCTGCTGGGGACCTGGCCTGCAATCCAAGCATGTACCCTGATTGGGAATTGAACCGGTGACCCTTTGAGGCCAGCACTCAATCCACTGATCCACGCCAGCCAGGATGATTTTAGTTTTTTAAAATAAATATTTTATTTACTTATTTTAGGTAGGGGGGAAGGGAGGGAGAAAGAGAGGGAGAGAAACATTAATGCATGGCTGTCTGTCATGTGCCCCCTACTGGGGACTCGGGACCTGGCCCACAACCCAGGCATGTGCCCTGACTGGGAATCGAGCCTGTGACCCTCTGATTCTCAGGCTAATGCTCAACCACTGAGCCACACTAGCCAAGGCTGATTTTAAAGTTTTCAAGTAAACATTTTAAAGCATGCACACACTTTATTGCCACTTTTTCTAACATATCTTGAGCCTTAGACCTTATAGATAATAATGCCTATTGCATATAATTTATTCGTAGGAGTTATTCGTTTCAATGATTCTTCTTCTTAAAAGGAACTACAGGCCATGGCTGGTGTAGCTCAGTGGATTGAGCATGGGCCTGTGAAGCAAAGGGTTGCTGGTTCGATTCCCAGTCAGGGCCCATGCCTGAGTTGCAGGCCAGGTCCCCAGTAGGGGACACATGAGAGACAACCACACATTGATGTTTCTCTCCCATTTTTCTCCTCCCCTTACCTTCTCTCTAAAAACATAAGTAAATAAAATATTTTAATTAAAAAAAAGGAACTATGAATCAAATATATTATACTTTTTAAAAAAATATTGAAGTTAATATTGAACACACTAACTTTCTACATATTTTGGGTTCCTTGATTATATCCAGTCCCCTTTCAAGGGGGTTGTATGTGTCTCAAGATTGTGGGACCTTTTAAAAAGACATGCTGAGATTGCTGGGGTGGGGATGCAGAGGCGAGTATAAGGGGACTATATGATAATGGAAAAAATATAATAAAGATTATATATTTAAAAAAGAAAACAACATGCTGAGTAAAAAAAAAAGCAGATAACAAATACATGTTCACAAAGGAAGATCCAAAGGAATTTACAGGGGTTGGCAAACTACAGCTCTCCAGATCTAAGAATGATTTTTACCTATTTAACAGATTGTCAAAACAAATAAAACATAAAAATATGCAACAGAGACTATAATGTGACCCCCACAGGCTAAAATATTTACTGTTTCCTCCCCCCCCAAAAAAAACCCCCCAAAAAACGAAACATTTGCTTTTCCCTAGTGTGTGACTGGGATTATGGTTAATTTTTATTTTTAAAAATAAAAAATGGGTTTCATGAGTTCTTTTTTATTTAAAAATTAAAGTATTAATATGGATCTTGCTGTAGGAAAAGCCACATTTATTTGGTTAAGAAACTTACAGGATTTAAAGTAGATTTGTTTAATCTTTATTCCCTTTCTTGTAGCACGATGAACTTGCAGATAGTCTTCCCTGCACAGAGGGGGAGTTTATCTTCCTTCGTCTTAATGTTCTTCGTGAGGTATGTAGTCATAATCTTTGGAATCTGCACTCTAAAACAAGGTGCCTTTTAATAGCTTTAATGACAGTGTTCTGTTTGGTTGTAGTATTTGGAAAGAGAGCTCACCATGGCCAGCCTACCATTCACATTTGATGTTGAACGGAGCATTGACGACTGGGTCTTCATGTGCTTCTTTGTAGGAAATGACTTTCTTCCTCATCTACCATCATTAGAAATTAGGTATGTGTGTTTCTGTGAGTTTTCAGACTTTAGCCTCCTTGCCTTTACACTGCATATTGGCCCTAATGCCTGTTTCCTGGTTGCAGGGAAGGTGCAATTGACCGTTTAGTTAACATATACAAAAATGTGGTACACAAAACTGGGGTAAGTGCATTCTTGAATAATTTCAAAACAGAAGTATTTGCTTTTATAAGAAGGTCATTTTCTATGTATTTTATCACTTACAGGGTTACCTTACAGAAAGTGGTTATGTCAATCTTCAAAGAGTACAGATGATCATGTTAGCAGTTGGTGAAGTTGAGGATAGCATTTTTAAAAAGAGAAAGGATGATGAGGTAAAGTGTTTCAATTGCAGTAGCTAAATTGCTCCTGTCTCTAATAGGCTATAATGATCCTGTGATTGTAATTTTAACCTCTTTGAGTGTGTTGTCATATCATTATAGTGTAACAAACATCAGTGTAATCATTAGTGGTCAGGACTTTAATTATTTTATAAAGGTTGTGATTCTTGCTGTGTGGAACTATATTGCACACTGTGTATTGCATTGTAACTTTTTTCTCATCATGATCTTAATTAAGATATAAGTTGAAATGCTTATCTAGTCAATAGGATATAAAATGAGGGTTCCAAAGCTACAAGAATGCTGGGATTGAGCTAATACCTGCCAGGTTTACAGGAAATATTTATTCTCTGGAAGACAGGTTAAAAGCTAGGAACTCTACTCTGGTAATAGAATGTACAGGATCTGGGTTGGATTGCATCAGCCATGGCAGATGGTTGCAGCTTTCAGTAAGAAATTTAAACATAAGAAGAAAATAAAATAACCAAGCTCTTAGAAATTGATTATATCTGATAAGGTGAGGGCTTATATGAGAAGTCCAATTTTTGGACTTGGTAGTTGGGAGTTTGCTGATGCCATTCCCTGAGATAGCAAGTACTGAGGTAAACAGGTTAGGGTGGTGACAAGGTAGAACTTGAGTTTCATTTTAGAGATAACTGGGTTTTAGGGATACCTCAAACACTCAGGACACTTGAAAGGGAAAAAGTCTGGGAAGCAATTTGATAGATGTGTGAAAAGCTCAGAGTAGAAGTTTTTTAAAAGGGGGTATGAGAACCATTAGCAGCTGGAGGGTACTTCAGGTGATGAGTGTGAACTTGAAATCTCTTGGAGCTTGTGTGTAATGAAATTGCCTCCAACGGAAACCTCAAGGAGAAGTGTGGGCATTTAAGGAGAATGAGGAGCCAGTTCTAGAGAGATGGGAGGGAATACCTGAAGAGAGGGGAAGTCATTAATATTGCTTGAGGTGTCAGAACTGTATGGACAGATCCCTAGTCTTCACCCAGGGGTTCAAAGGCCCTGGGGAGTTAGTGGGGGCATCAGCCTGGAGGCTGAATATATCAGAGCTTGATTGTGGGGGAATGGGAAGGGAGGTAAGCAGTGGGTAAAATGAACAGATAGTAGTAACTTCTTAGAAAGTAAAGGAAATTTTTTTTGGAAACTGATTTTATAAAAGGTAATATAGCTATTTTGAGTGAATAGCAATGTAATATTGTTATATTGCTTCATGATCTAACAGATTGAGACATGTCATTGTATCTGATAAGATTTTATATTTTCTTCAAGTTTGTCATTTTAGAACTTCGGGTAACATTTTAAGTAAGAGTAAGGAGACTGTTTAGCATTCTTTCCAAAGTCTTTGATATTTGGTAATCTTCTTTGGTGGAAAGAATTTTTCACATGTAAAATTCAAATAACAGAACCAACTTTGTCTGGGATATCAAATGTCTACCAGAATGGCCATTTTTATTTTTTTTAAATTTTTCCCCACCCCCCACCCCAGACCAGAATGGCCATTTTTAACGAAGGCTTCAACAATTATGGTGGCTTCACTTGACCTGCTACCATTTATGCTTAAGAAAATATATATTTATTGTGTACTACTTCATGTAAAAGCATCTTGTTAGAATAGTCCTTTTGTGTGGCTTTAGCAGAGTATATACTTTTAAATATTGGTTATTTTTGGCATTAGAGCAGGTTGTATGGGATTTGATAGATACCACAGTGCTTTAGATTTAGATAATAATGGTTTTCAGATGCCCTGGCAAACATAGCATTTTAACACTATGGATCTTTTTGGTGTCCTTGACAACATATGACGTCCATCAGTGTGGTTGGACATGGGTGGGGGGTGGGGGCTATGAAACCTCAGAGATTCAGTATTAAAGTATATGGTGGTATATGTTTTCCTGGAAAGTGTGTCCACATTTGACAGATTTCCAGAGGAGTTGATAGCACCCAGATGGACTTTTCTGCTTATGTGTTACCACCACCCTTAGAAATACTGACCAGCAAAATAGAAGAGGAATGCATTCAATATTTTTTACAAAAATTAAGGAATCAGGTCAAAAATGTGATGCTTTTTATTTTCTGAGATTTGACTTTTATCTTGCAAATATTGTTTATTTATTCAACAAATATTTATTGTGTTACCATGTGCCAGATAATTTTCTGAGTATTACTGATACAACAGAAAACCAAATCAAAACAGAAGAACAGAAAAATTTCTAACCTTACAGAGCTGAAGTTTTTCTGGGGGAGATGGATGATAAGTACAAAAACTTAAGCAAATTGAATAATGTGTTAATGATAAGTGCCAGGAAGAAAATTAAAGCAGATGAGGAAATATCTGGGAAGGTGGTGATAGGTAGTTTGCAGTTCTAGAAAAGGTGACTAGAGAGGACCCCACTAACAGATGACTTTGTATGAAGACCTGAAGGATGTGAGATGTTTATAGGAAAAGCATTTCAGATAGAGGGAGTAGCCACTGGAAAGCCTCTGGGGCAGGAGCATACCCAGATGTTCACAGAACAGCAAGGAGCCAGTGTGATAGGAGCAGAGGAAGCGAAGGGAAGGTGATAGAAGAACTTAGAAAGATGATGGAGGACTAGATCTGCTAGTTCAGGTCATTTTGAGGACTTCAGCTTTTATTTTAGAGGGTTTTGAGTATGAAAGTGACAAGAACTGACACATATCAATCATAAAAGGGTCACTAGCTCTTATATTGAGGCTCACTGTATGGAGGCAAAGATAGAGGCAGTGATCCCATTTAGGAGAAGTAAACCCAGGTAGTATGGAAGCAAAGAAAGAAGCAGTAAGCCAAGTCCAAGGGAGCTAGTGTAGTCATAATAGTTATGACAGGGGATAGCTGGATTCTGTGTTTTGAAGGTAGAACCAATGAGATTGTTTAATGAGTTAAATGCTAGATGAGAGAAAGAAAGCTATAAAGAATGATTACAAGGCATTTTGTCTCAGCAGTTGAAAAATGGTCTGAGCAACTGTGATGAGAGGAAGCCTGGGAAGTACAAATCTGGGGGCAGGAATTCCATTTTAGAGATTCTGAGTGGGGAGAGATCCTGGTTGGACAGTCACGAGCATATAGATGATGTTTAAAGCCATAAGGCTAGGTGATTTACTCCCATGAGAGTACAGAAGTGGCAAGGTCCAAGTATTGGTCTCAGATACACACCCAACATTAAGAGGTTGGGGAGTTGAGGAGTAAGGGCAAGCAGTGAGGGTGAAAGAGGAGAACCAGGTGAGTGTGGTGTCCTAGAAGACAAGTGAAGAGCATGATTCAAGAAGGGAAAGAGTCATTGTCAGATAAGGACTGAGAACGGAGTAATGGATTTTGCAGTCTGTAAGTCATTGGTGACTTAGGTAAGAGAAGTTTAATTAAAGAGTGGGGTAAAAGCTTGATTAAATAAGTTGGTGGTTTTCATATCTTAGGAGTTTTCAGGGTAGTCGGTCACTGTGTATTGAACATTTTAGGCATTCTTTTGGCAGAAAAACATTCTGTTAACACATATTACAGTTGGCAGTACTGATTGGAAGAGATAGAAATGAAGCTGGTAGAATGACAGTACAGTACCAGCAGGCCCTGTTTTAGGCTGCAGCTGCAGCCACAGTCATCTTAGCTGTCATTACAGTGCCTTGACAGTCACTGAATTGTGGGCATAAGAGGAGTGCTTTCTGGGGTAAAGGGAGCCTTTGAACGGTCCAGGTAGTTAGTGGGGAGCATGATAATCCCAATGCTAGTCAGTTGAAACCATGGCTACACTTTGAAAACTTACCAGTGCAGACAGGACCCTTTCCTGTGAGTTAAATTGGACCAGAATAAGCAGTGCAAAACATCTGAATTTTTCTTTCATTATATTGATGTTTTGGAACCAGTGGTGGGAATAGTATTTGTATAGAGCTCACTTCTCTCTTTACTCACTTATACGCCATAGATTTTACAGAGTCAGGAACTGTCAAGCTCTTTTTTAGGTAACACAGACTTGTTACTAAATTCTCTTATCAACATCTTTAAATATGATATCTTGATTATTAACTGAATTGAGTCACAACTTAAGAATTTTGTTTCCTTATTTGTATCTTCTTATTGGGAGCCTGTTTGCTCCAGGGTAAAACCAATGGTGTTTGTCATGAGTCTTTCATACTTTGTGAAATTATACCAAAAACTATGTGGGGGGAAAAAAAAGAACAATTAAATTGTATCTAAACTCAATACAGAATGCTCTCTACCCATCTAAAGTTCTGGTAAGCAACACTTTAAACATATAGTCCTTTATGTAGTTTAATTATGTACCTAGGTCTCTGAGGTCTTCCTTTAAAACTTTAATTGCCTCCCTAAATCATTCCTGATAATGTTTAACTCTTACATTTTTGTGTAATTATTTGACAGAATATGTGGATTTTATACTTTTAGGACAGTTTTAGAAGACGACAGAAAGAAAAAAGAAAGAGAATGAAGGTGAGTTTTAATTAATTTTGAAACATTGGCTGTAGCATAACTTTACAGTTTGGGACAAAGTAGTTTATTACAATAGCTTTTTATTCCTTATCCAGTAGGAGTCAGTTAGGGACATAGAGTTCACCGGGTTGCCTTCTTACCTAAAGAAAGAATGCAGGTGCCCATTTTACTTTATTTAAAAAAATTACATTTTATTGTTTATGCTATTACAGTTGTCCCAGTATTTCCCCATTTGTTTCCTCCACCTGGCCCCCTCACTCCCTCAGGCAATCCCAACACCATTATCCATGTTCATGGTTCATTCATATATGTTCTTTGCCTCTTCTCTTCCCTATACAGTACTTACATCTCCATGACTGTGCTGTAACTACCAATTTCTACTTCTTAATTCCTTCACATTTTCACCCATCTCCCACCCCTTCCTATTTGGCAACCATCAAAACATCCTCTGTATCTATGGATTTGTTTCTGTTGTGCTTGTTTGTTTACTTCGTTTTTAAGATTCAATTGTTGATGGATATGTGTTATTGCCATTTTATTGTTTACTTTTTGATCTTCTTAAAGAAGACCCTTTAACATTTCATATAATACTGGTGTAGTGGTGATGAACTCCTTTAGCTTTTTCTTGTGTGGGAAGCTCTTTACCTGCCCTTGAATTCTAATTGATAGCTTTGATGGTTAGAATAATCTTGGATGTGAGTCCTTAGCTTTTCATCATTCTGAATATTTCTTGCTCTAGTCCCTTCTAGCCTGCAAAGTTTCTTTTGAGAAATCAGCAGAGTCTTATGGGAGCTCCCTTGTAGGTCACTTGCTGCCTTTAAGATTCTCTTGTTCTCTTTAACCTTTGGTATTTTAATTATGTTGTACTTTGGTGTGGGCCTTTTTGAGTTCATCTTGCCTGGGCGGGACTCTGTGCTTCCTGGACCTGTTTATCTATTTTCTTCCCCAAGTTAAGGAAGTTATCTGTCATATTTTTTCAAGGAGGTTAACAATTTCTTATTCTTTTTCTTTTCCTTTTGGTACCCCCATGATGCAAATGTTGGTGTGCTTAAAATTGTCTCCGAGGCACCTTATACCCTCATTTGGGGGGATTTTTTTTTTCTTCCTGTTCTCATCAGTTGTTTTTTTTCTTTTGATTTATTTTTTGGTTTTTTTGCTTCCTTATATTACAAATGCTGATTTGATACTGGGCTTCATCCACTCTACTATTGATTTCCTGTAAATTGGTCTTTATTTCAGTTTTATAACCTTTGTTTCTGACTGGATCTTTTTTATGCTGTTGAAGTTATCATGAAGTTTACTGAGCCATCCTTATATTCAGTGTTTGGAACTCTACAGCTAGTAGAATGCTTGTCTCCATTTTCTTTGGTTGGTTGGTTGTTTGTTTTTCTGGAGTTCTATTTTATTTGGGTCATGTTTCTTTATCTCCTCATTTTGGCAGCCTCCCTGCGTTTGTTTCTGTGTATTATGTAGAGCTGCTATGTCTCCCAGGCTTGGTAGAGTGGCCTTACATAGTAGATTTACTATAGAGTCCAGTGGCACACCCTCCCCTATCACCCAAGCTAGGTATTCAAGGTGTGTCCCCCAGCTCTTCCCCTGGTGCTGGACAGTTCAGTTCCTCCTCATATGTCTCTGGTGCCTTTCAGTCTCATACCCCTCTGCTGGAGCCCAGAGGGAGTCAGGCCAAGTAAGTCTGTGCACAGGGCCTTTGAGAGGAACTATCTGGGACTCCAGCAGTTACTGTCTTCTGTAGCCTCAATCCCCACTTGTTTTTCCAGACTGAAGTTATGGAGACTTCTCTTCTTGGCATTGGAACCCTGGGCTGGAGGGCCTGGTATGGGGCTGGAACCCTTCACTGTTGAGATATCCCTCCTTATTTTTGTTGGCCATATGTGGGTGTGGGACCTGTTCTGTGTCTCCACCCCTCCTACCAGTCTTGGCATGGTGTCTTTAATGCTGTAGTTGTAGGACTTCTATTCATCTTGATTTTTGATGGTTCTGAGTGATGGTGGTTCTATACTTTAGTTGTTATTTTGATGTAGTTGTGGGAGGAGGTGAGCTGTGTTTACCTATGCTGCCGTCTTGACTGGAAGTCCTAGTGTTGATTTTAAAGAAGTCTTTATTTTGGTCTGGCATCTGAGGGGGTACACTGGAGGGGCAAGAGGGAGTGGATGCCACTTACTTATTTGAATTTTTTATAGTAGGTAATATTTTTGTAATAAAAACAATTAACCCTTTGTATCCTCTTGAAAGTTATTATAGTCTGTTTATATCTTTGTCAGGTTAGTGTTCCCAGAACATGACACTCGAAACTTTGTTGTTTCTCTGTGGAAATCATTAGTAACTCTGTAGTCCCCTCAGAATACAGTATTGTCTTCATATGGCATGCAGAGCATACAAGGATCTGGTTGAATTCTAGCTACCCAGGTTTTTTCTGCCTTTTGTGCATAAATATACCATATCCCTCCAGATTCAGAGCATTCCTTTCATTTGGTACCTCCATATGGATTTTTGACTTCACAACTCCCTCATATCTTGCCTTTTCCACAAAGTCTCCCTGTTGCTTCTGCTTATAGTCTAGGTGTAAGAGTTTTGTCTTTTACTCTGGTGCTTCTTGCTATAATATTTGTTTTCTTAATTGCATGATATATAGTCATTTCTTTAGTTCTTGTTTTTCTGGTCTTTCTTACTAGATTTTAAATTCAGGGAGTATAAGGATTGTATTTTGTTACTATATTTCATTGAAAATGAGCAATTTCAGGAACCTAGAAGAGGAGAAAAGTAGAGTTCTTTATTAGCATTTAAGTTCAAAATCAGTTAGATTGGGAAGGGCATATTTATTTTCTACCTTATATATCATTATTTTCTTTCATTCTATATCTGTTTTAAAGATCTGTCTTTTATTAGCCAGCCATGACTGTTTCCTATTATAAATTTAAGCATAGCTCTAATTAAATAGAAAGTTAAATTCTGGCAAGTGAAGAGTAAATAAAAATTATATTCCTAAGTGTAAATCAAACTCTTCACTCATTTTTTATTTTAATAGTTACACTTATTTGCTTAAAATTGTCTTCAGTGTGTTCTGAAATTTTAAGTAAACATACTAGAATGGCCTAATGAGATTTGAATAGATTTTCTGTATATATCATAACAGTGATGTATATATATTTATAGAGCAGAGTTATTAAATATTAAAGGCTGTTGTTTACTGGGTAAGTTACAATCAAATTAGTATCAGTAACTCCGTGTTGTTAATGGAAATCCATTTTCATCTTTTAAGTGCTTACAGTGGGGACTCTTATTTTGTTGCCTTTTTTTCTTCCAGTCATCTGTGCTGCGATTTAATTTTAATTTCTACATTTATTTCTCTTTATGTTAGAGAGATCAACCAGCTTTCACTCCTGGTGGAATATTAACCCCCCATGCCTTGGGTCCAAGAAATTCACCAGTTTCGCAAGTAGCCAATAATCCGAGACAAGCAGCCTATGAAATGAGGATGCAGAATAACTCTGTAAGTGACTGACTTTTATGTGGCATTGAAGAGTGATGAGTATCAGATGCCTCTTGCAGCTGTGTGTGAATTTTGTTACGTAGCTGGGAGTCATTTTATAGTTTTTTCAGTTTCTTTTGCCTTGAAATACTTTTAGATTTGTTAAATTCATTGTTATTAATATGAAAATATCTAAATGTGAAAAAAGAATATATGTAAATATATAGCCACGTATAGCTAAGTGGCTATATTGATTCTATAATGCAAACAGATCAAAGGAACTAGATGATGATGCTAGAAGCATGATATGGTCATACAGATGTCTCATAGCTCAGGCAAGATACGAAGGTGGGTTATACGATTTCCCTTTTCCTTTGGAGATCAGTGATGGTCATTTTGCAGAATAATATTCCTCATTTGTCAAATATAGGTACTCTTGACTGCCTAAACGCTCACTCTCTAACTCAGCTTCTTGTAATAGTGCCAACAGACCATGAGCTCAAATAGCACATGGGTGGGGCAGCAGCAGGGGTGAGGAAATATACCATCAATTGACATTCACAGACAGCAGATAATCAAAGTTACTGCTTATTTCAGGCTAGTAGGCATGGGTGAGAGAGGGCATGTTATAGAGGGAGGCAAAATAGTACACAGTCATTGCCATGATATACCCAAGGAAATGGCATAAGTTTGGTTGTTTCATTTTTACTCCAGTAGTTACTGTATTGATGCTAAATCCCTTATTACAGGGCAATACTGTATGCAGAAGTTTGGCCATATCAGGAGACTGATTGGATTTGTATTGCCATAAATTCATACCTAGAATTTTTTTAGGGACCTTAGATTTGGAATTTGAGAACTGAGATTTTGCTTCTTTTGGGAGAAGCAGGTTAGGCTTTTGTTGTGTTTTTGTTCTGTTTGACTTTTGTTTTTTTGTCTTATTCCTTAAAGCATTAGTAGAATGGGATGTGGAGGGTCATTGAAAGGGATTGCAATGAAACACAAATAGAACAGAAGAAAACTGATGTCCATCATCTAAGATGATAGTGATTACAGTCCCCTCAGAGTAGAAAGAACTGAGAGTAACAAATATTCTCAAACAGCATATTGGTAATATAATACTTTTCTCTTAATCTCAGGGAGGCAAGAAGCTTTAAACTTCACCAGCTATGATGCTTTGTGAAAGATTTCAATATTAAATTCAGATTTTACAGGACTAGACCCACTATTGAGTAATGTCTGCCATGGGAATAGGAGTGGGGAAATTGATGATTAGGTCACTTATTTGATCATGTCTTAATTCCTCTTGACATAATTATTCCTTTTGGAGTCTTTGTATATAGGAATTTTCATCCAGAATGTTCCAAATTTAGAGAAATCATGAAGTAAAATTATAAAATTCATTTAAAATCATGATGTTACTTTAAAGAGGACCCTTTAAGGTTATGTTTTATTTTTTCTAAATGTTTGACATTATTAGTCTCCAGATGTCTACTGATGATCTGCATTGTTAATACTCTATTATATAGTTTTATTGTTTCCTCATAAATGCTTTTATTTAATTATTTTTATATAAGTGCTTTTAAATGTTGTACTCTGAAGTGTGCTTTCATTATATCTGTGGCTAAGCTTAGTTTAATAAGATTGATTGCAAAACTAGTATTTTCAAATAAAATTTGAGCTCTGACTGGTGTGGCTCAGTGGATTGAGCACTAGCCTGTGACCCAGAAGGTCATCAGTTCAATTCCCATGCCTGGGTTGTGGGCCAGGTCCCCAGTAGGGGATGCATGAGAGGAAACCACCCATTGGTGTTTCTCTCCCTCTCTTTCTCCCCTCTTCCTCCTCTCTAAAAATAAAGAAATAAAATCTTTTAAAAAAATTGAAGTGGCATGAATCTGGTATATTCAGGAAAGAATACTTTTATAGGAAAAGATGAAACAGAAAGGATAATTAGTAGATTTAGTGTTAAAGAACTATACCTTTTTTTTTAAGGCATGCTATTTTTGTTATCTAAAGATAGAGTTTATATATTGCTTGTCAATTTGGGAAAGTTTGCTTTTCATAACAAACTACGCTGTAGTAGTTCTGGCCACAATGGAAGCGTAGGTAGAAAACCTTTGCTTCCTCACACAACCAAAAGGAGAAAACAACCAATCTAAAATCAGTAAACAACTAGAAGTGCCAGAAAATCAAACTGCATGGTTCTCTGACAACCATGGAATTAAAGAAACAGTCAAAGAGAACAACCAGACTTGTAAGGCAGCAAAAGGACAGACACTGTGGTGAGGCAGCGGACTGTGGGGGTGAGGCTGGCTGCAGAGCCATGGCAGGCTGCTAAAGAGGGGCTGACTGAAGGGAAAACTGAGACTCAGAGGTAGTTGTGGACTGTAACCACCATTGCTGTGCTGGGAGAAACTTCCAGTCTCACACAAGAGTTCACTGAAGAGTGTGCCCTAGAGAGGAGCAGGAGAGCTGCATTCTCCTCTCTCTGGCCCCTCCCCCACAGGCAGCAAGGTGGTGCCTTAGCACAGCAAAGTGGGTTGCCCTTGGCTAGTGAATACTGAAGGCCCCTGCCCCTTGTAACTTAACAGGGGCCCCGAGCAAAGAAATAGGGCCAAAATGAAAGAACAGTGCAAAAACACAGAAAGAGAGCTAAGCAAGGAGGATATAGCCAACCTATCTGATGGAGAATTTAAAGCCCTGGTAATCAAAATGCTCACAGAACTGATTGAGCTTGGTCAAAAAATGAAAGATACTCAATGAAATAAAGCAAAATATTCAGGGAATCAACAGCGACAGGAAGGAAACCAGGGCTCAAAACAACAAAAGGAAGAAATAAACATCCAGCCAGAAAAAAATGAAGTAACAAGAATTCAAAAAAATGAAGAGAGGCATAGGAACCTCTGGGACAAGTTGAAACTATGTATCTAAATTATATATCTATAATTTAGGTGATGATTATATATTTATAATATAGGTGATATAATTCCAATATCTAAATTATAGGGGTGCCAGAAGTAGAAGAACAAGAGCAAGAAATTGAAAACTTACTTGAACAAATAATGAAGAAAATTTCCCCTGATCTGGTGAAGGAAATAGACTTCTAGGAAGTCCAGGAAGCCCAGAGACTCCCAAAGAAGTTGGACCCAAAGAAGAACACACCAAGGCACATCATCATCAGGTTATCCAAGATTAAAGACAGAGAGAATCAGCAAGAGGAAAGGAGAGTTATGTACAAAGCAGTGCCCGCCCATAAGGCTATCAGCTGATTTCTCAGAAGAAACCTTACAGGCAAGACAGGGCTGGAAAAAATGTATTCAAAGTCATAAAAGGCAAGGACTTCCATCCAAGATTACTCTATCCAGCAAAGCTATCATTTAGAATGGAAGGGCAGATAAAAGTGCTTCCCCGATAAGGTCAAGTTAAAGGAGTTTATCATCACCAAGCCATTATTAATTGAAATGTTAAAGGCACTTATCTAAGAAAAGGAAGATCAAAACTATGAACAGTAAAATGACAACAAACTCACAACTAACAACAAATGAACCTAAAAATCTAAAAGAAAGGAAAACAATGAAAACAAAAACCAAGCAAACGAATAGAAACAGAACCAGAGAAGTGGACATCACATGGGGGATTTTCATTGGGGAGGAGGAGTAGAGGAATAGAGGGAGAAAGGTACAGGGAAGAAGAAGCATAATTGGTAGGCATTAAATAGACGGGGAGAGGGCAAAAATTGTATAGGAAACAGAGAACTCAAAGAACTTATTTGTACAACCCATGGATATAAACTAAGGTGGGGGGATGCTGGAAGGATGGTGCAGGGTGGAGGGGGGAGAAAGGGGGAGAAATTGGAAAAACTGTAATAGCATAACAATAAAATATAATTAAAAATTAAAAATAAATGTAAAGCATCATTTCATAGACCACCAAAAAGAAAAATACTGTGTACTTAGTTGATAAAAACATAACTCTTATAATTTGATCTAAATGGATTACTGCTGGGTTTAAAGAATGATGATGAGCCCTGGTCAGTATGGCTCAGGTTGGTTGGAGCATCATTCCATAACCAAAAGGTTGCAGGTTCGGTTCCCATCTGGAAACATGTGATCTCTGGTCCAGGCATGTGCAGAAGGCAACCAATTGATGCTTCTTTCTCACATTGGTGCTTCTCTCTTTTTCTTCCTGTCTCTCTAAAAGCAATGGGAAAAAATGTCCTCCAGGGATGATAAAGTGGAAAAAAAACAATAACGATGATGTGCCCTGGCCAGGTAGTTCAGTTGGTTAGAGCATCATCCCAGTATGCTGTTTCTGGTTTGATCCTCAGCCAGGGCACATGTAAGAATCAGCCAGTGAATATATAAGTAGAACAACAAATCAGTGTTTCTTTCCCTCTCCCTCCCTCCCTCCCTCCCTCCCTGGCTGTGTGTGTCTGTTTCTCTTTCCTCTTTTTTCTCTCTGTCTTCCTCCTTCCCCTTCCCCTCTGTCTAAAACCGATTTTTTTTACTTCCAGCCAAGATAGAGGTGTAGATGGAAACACTGTGCCTCCTCGCACAACCAAGTTTAAAGACAACAAAGTTTTAGTAACAAAAATGCAGCCAAAACACAGAAAATTGATCTGTACGGAAGTCCAACAACAACGAGCTGTTCATCCAGATTGGTAAGAGGGGTGGAGTCAGTAGTGGAACCAGGTTGGTGCAGGAAAGATCAGCTGGACTGACCCAGGAGCTCAGGCGGCAGTTGGCAGATCCCAGATGTGGGGTGGCATTTGGCGGACCCATTGAGGGTGCAAGGCAGCTGACTGACCGTGGTCACACATTCGCACGCAGATAAACCAAGTGAAAGAGCGAGGAGTGAGACAAACCACTCAGGCCAGGGCCCCAACAAGGGGAATTAGAGCCTGAAAGCACCGATTGGAAAGACTTTCGGGGTTGAGGTGCCAGGAGAAGCTCCCAGGCTCACAGAGAGTTTTTTGGAGAGACCCACAGGGTCCTGGAGGGTGCACAAGCCCACACACCTGTGAACCAGCACCAGAAGGGCCCAATTTGCTTGTAGGAAGCGGCAGAGGGGACAGAAATCTGAGAGAACAAATGCCATTGCCCCTTTCTGACCCTGCCCCCACACAGCATCACAACCCAGCAACCTGGGTTGCCCCGCCCTAGTGAACATCTAAAGCTCTGCCCCTCCTATGTAACAGGTGCAAACAGACCAAAACATTATGGCTCAAGAACAGCTCAAAAGCCCCAGAGCCAATAAATCTAAGTGACCAAGAGATAGCTAACCTTTCAGATGCACAGTTCAAAACACTGGTGATCAGGACGCTCACAGAATTGGTTGGTTTTAGTCACAAATTAGAGGAACAAATGAAGGCTAAACTAATTGAAGTGAAGGAAAATGCACAGGAAACCAATACTGATGGAAAGGAAACTGGGACTCAAATCAAGGGAGTGGACCAGAAGGAAGAAAAAAACGACCAAACAGAAAAGAATGAAGAAACAAGAATTCAGAAAAATGAGAAGCTTAGGAACCTCCAGGACATCTTTACACATTACAGCATCCGAATTATAGGGGTATAAGAAGGGAAAGAGGAACAATAACAAGTGGAAAAGTTATTCGAACAAATAATAAAGGAGAAATGAAGGAGACAATGCTAGAAGCAGTGAGAGATAAGGGGACAGTCACCTACAAAAAAGTTCTCATCAGACTGTCAGCTGATTTCTCAAAAGAGACCTTATGGCAAGAAGGAGCTGGAAAGAAGTATTCCAAGTCATGAAATCCAAAGACCTACATCCAAGATTGCTCTATCCAGCAAAGCTTTCATTTAGAATGGAAGGGCAGAGAAAGTGCTTCTCAGATAAGGTCAAGTTAAACAAGTTCATCATCACCAAGCCCTTATTATATGAAATGTTAAAGGGGCTTATCTAAGAAAAAGAAGATAAAAAGTATGAACAGTGAAAGGACAGCAAACTCACAGTTATTTACAGCCACACCTAAAACAAAAGCAAACTAAGAGGACAGCTAGACAGCTAGATCAGGAGTGGAACCATAGAAATGGAGATCACATAGAGGGTTAGCAACAGGGGAGTGAGAGAAGGAGAAGTGGGGAGAAGGTACAGAAAATCAGTAGCATAGACAGTAGGTAGAAAATAGAGAGGGGGGAGGGCAAGAATAGTATGGGAAATATAGACTCTAAAGAACTTGGGACACATGGACATAAACGAAAGGGGGAATGGGGGAGGGGTATGCAGGGTGGAAAGGAATGAAGGGGGGAATACGACAATGTAATGGCATAATCAATAAAATATATCTAAAAAATAAAACCAATTTTTAAAATATATGTTATTGATTTTGCTATTACAGTTGTCCCATTCCCCCCCTTTTATCCCCTCTGCCCTACGTACTCCCTCCCATCCACATTCCCCCACCTTAGATCATGTCAGTTGGTCATACATATAAGTTCTTTTGCTTTTACTTTTCCTATACTATTCTTAACCTCCCCCTGTCTATTTTCTATGTACCATTTATGCTACTTATTCTCTTTAATTTTTCCCCCTTCCTCCCACTCCCCTGTTGATAACCCTGCATGTGATCTCCATTTCTGTGGTGCTGTTCTAGTTGTCTTCTTAGTTTGCTTTTGTTTTTGTTTTAGGTGTGCTTGTTAAGAACTGTGAGTTTGCTGTCATTTTGTTGTTCATATTTTAATCTCCTTTTTCTTAGATAAATCCCTGTAACATTTCATATAATAAGGGCTTGGTGGTTGTGAACTCCTTTAACTTGACCTTATCTGAGAAGCACTTTCTCTGCCTGCCCTTCCATTCTAAATGAAAGCTTTGCTTGGTAGAGTAATCTTGGATGGAGGTCCTTGCCTTTCCTGACTTGGAATACTTCTTTCCAGCCCCTTCTTGCCTACAAGGTCCCTTGAGAAATCAGCTGACAGTCTGATGGGAACTCCTTTTTAGGTAATTTTCTACTTTTCTCTTGCTGCTTCTAAGATTCTCTCCTTCATTTTAATATTGGTTAATGTAATTATGATGTGCCTTGGTGTGTTCCTCCTTGGGTCCAACTTCTTTGAGACTCTCTGAGCTTCTCGGACTTCCTGGAAGTCTATTTCCTTTGCCAAATTGGGGGAGTTTTCCATTATTTTATCAAAAATGTTTTTTATTTGTTGCTCTTCCTCTTCTCCTTCTAGTACTCCTATGATTCAGATGTTGGAAGGTTGAAAGTTGTTCTAGGGATTCCTAAGCCTCTCCTCATTTATTTGAATTCTTGTTTCTTCATTCTTGTTGAATGTTTCTTTCTTCTTTCTGGTCCACACTGTTGATTTGAGTCCCAGTTTTCTTCCCATCACTGTTGGTTCCCTGTATATTTTTCTTTGTATCATTTAGCGTATCCTTCATTTTTTCATCTAATATGCGACCAAGTTCAACCAATTCTGGGAGCGTCCTGATCACCAGTGTTTTGAACTGTGTATCTGATAGGTTGACTATCTCTTTATTGCTTAGTTGTATTTTTTCTGGAGCTTTGATCTGTTCTTTCATTTTAACCATTTTCTTTTTCTGGGCACACCTACTACCTATAAGCGGTGGAGCCTTATGTGTTCACCAGGGTAGGGTATCCCTGGTGGCTGCCTGTGACTCTATATGAGGGGGAGAGTCGGGGGGGGGACAATGGCTCTTTCTCTACTCTCTGCTGGTTTTCAGTCACTTCCCCCACTACCCACAAGCAAAGTGGATCCTTCTGGTGCTGATTCCCAGTGGGTGGGTTTGTGTGCATTTTAGGACCCTGTGGGTCTCTCTATTGAAGTCTCTCGTGAGGCTGGGAGTTTCTCTTGCTGCAGTTTCAGCCCACATAGGTGTTTTCAGTCAGTGCTTTGAGGCTTTATTTCTCTGCACTGGGACCCTGGGTTTCTTGGTCTGTCTGGCTTCCCAATAGTTTCTCCTAGTGTGTCTACATGCGAATGTGGGACCACTGGCTCCATTAGCTGCTGCCTTGCCGGCCAGTCGCCACCTTGCATGTCTCAGGCCTTGCCAAGAGTCTGGATGAATGTTTCTTCTTTAACTCCTTCGTTGTCAGACTTCCATACAGTTCGATTTTCTGGCAGTTCTGATTGTTTATTGTTTTTAAATTGTTGTCCTTTTGGTTGTGTGAAGAGGCACAGTGTGTATACCTACACCTCCATCTTGGCCGGAAGCCTAAAACCAATTTAAAAAAAAAAATGATCATAACTTACTGAATTGTTAACTACCTTGTGCCAAGCAGGCAGTATGTTATTATTTTTCATACATATTATTTTATTTAATCCTTGGAATAACCTGTAAAGAGATAGAACATTATCACCTATCTCCATTTGAAGTAGAGGCTGACACAGGTTAAATAAAATGTTCAGGGCCATATAGTCAGTAAAGATTAGACCTGCTGTTTCAAAGTCAGATCTGTTTGTCTAAAAAACCCATCTCATTTTCTAAGTACAGCAGTTCCTTCCTGGATTTATTTTTATTAATATTAGTTTTTGACAGTATTGGCCATATAGTATCATGATAAAATTGATACTACCTATTTTAAAAGGGGAATGCCATAAGCTCTATGAAATATATTTTTGCCTTGTTGTAACTTTTCTTGGCCTATAGTGTGAACTACCTTTACATTAAGGTTTTAGTTAAAGTACTAAAAAAGCCTTCTCAGCTCTCAACTTAAAAATAATTTAATTTGTTCAAAATATCTACTATACTGTGAATAACAGAAGGAACTTGTACCATGAAAACCTTTTCTGCCTGTGTTTTTGTTCATTTAACATAAAACTTAGGTTTCAGAAGATTATACTCTTTATATTATATATTAAAATATTTCAGGCTGCTGCTACATTCATTGAATTAGGTACAGAAGGAAGATAATACTGATAATACATTGTTTTTTAAATTATTTTTTATTTTTAGAGACTGAGGAAGAGGAAGGCAAAAAGAGAGCTCTGGATTTGTTTTTCTACTTATGTATGCATCCATTGGTTCATGCTTTGATGTGCCCTGACCAGAGATCAATCCTGCAATCTTGGTGTATCACAATGGCACTCTTAACTGAGCCACACAGTCGGGGCCAGTACTAATAATTCACTTTAAAATAATACTTTAAAGTGGCATCTAAGTCTGAAATAATAAAGTCCGCATTTTTCTAAGATAACTAATAGATTTTTATTTGTACATTGAATTTTAAAACAGTATATATAAAATAATTTAACAGTTATCTTGCAGAGTCTTCAACAGTTGCTTTTCAGAGTGGTGGTACTAGGTGGAACACTTAGCATTTAACTTTGTTCTCACCAATATTGAGTTTTTAATGTATTATTTATATATTATTATATACATACATATTTTTCCAATTATAATTTGTTATGTAATTGATAGAAAGTGATCATGATTTTGTGGCATGAGGGAACTGCCAAAAAAAAAATACTGAAGTCCTTTAATTTTAAATGTGTAAAATTAAATTCTTCTTTTTTTCATTTGAAGCAGTTTTATCTTTAAAATGTTCAAATTTCTTTTTTAATCTAAACCTAAGAAGCTTGGTACAATATTACTTGTTTGTGGGGAGGTGGAGTAGGACAAGATCAGTCTTTATATTTTCTAAATATATTTACCATATCTGTTTGATAGGTTTTTTAAAAATGTGGTATCGTGAAACATGTGGTAATAGAAATGTGATGTAACTTCTTATGTGAAATGAATAATTAAATCCCTCCTCTGTAATGTTGCAATTATCTGCAGAGTCCTTCAGTATCTCCTAATACAAGTTTCACTTCTGATGGTTCTCCGTCTCCGTTAGGAGGAATTAAGCGAAAAGCAGATGACAGTGACAGTGAACCTGAACCAGAGGATAACGTCAGGTGAAGCCATTTTTTTCATAGAATTTTGTTAGCAAATTGCTGAAATAGGTGTGGTCTAAGTAATACTATTTAGCTGAGAGCAGTAGTGCCTTCAGACGCTTGCCTGTCATCTTTTTTCCAGTAGTAATTAATGTGGAGGGTTAGAATACTCAGTAAATTCCAGTGACATGTGTAAACTAAAGTTTCTATATTAGTATGCGTACAGGTTTTCATCCTCCAAAACCACTTTTTCCTCTGAGACCAGGCACTAGATGAGCTGGGCATGAGGTGTTTTCGATCAAGTTACAGTTTTGAGATTAAATTTTCATTGCTTAACCCAGAAAGTTCAGTTACACTTGGATACTTAATATAATTTGTTTTAATTGTCTAATTTGAAAAAGTTATTCCTCAAAATGAAAGTGTCAAAGACATTTGGTTAAGAGATAAATGTATGTATTTTGAAAACCACAAACTTGAGTATGCACAATTATATTTAAGGGAAAAAAGTTTCCTTTAGCTGTATATTTAAAATAGAAAACTTTGATTATTTAATTCATTCACAGGGTTTTTGGTCATTATATAACAATAGTATGTATAACAGCCTCTTGTATAATTAAATCTAGGTTTGAAGCCTGGGCTCCAAAAACAAAAAAACCAACAATATCAATAATTGTAACTCATGAATTTAGCAAAATGATATCAGAGTTAAACAAATAATAATGGTCCACAGTTCATGCTGCTTTTATAGGACATGGTTGGTGTGTTTGTATTTATGATTAGAAACCTCACAACTCTCATATGTGCTACTGCATTTTCCTAAACGTTCTTTGATGTGAGATTCTGAGTTCTGTGCTGGCTTGTGATTGAACAATTACCTGATCTGAGCTTTTGTTCTCTGATTTTATAATTCTGGACTTCCTTCTTAGAATGCTTTTTGTTTTGCTGTGTAGGTATTATATCAGTGAATACTAGCTAAGAGTTAACTTGATTTATTTAGTACATTATTGTTTAATTCTGTTCCTGAAGACAATAAAGGTAGAAAGCTTATATCAAAAAATATTTGAGGTTTTTAAGCATTTATTATACTGTTATTATCTGTAAAATAGTGCTAATGCACATTATGGATAGTAGATATTTCTCCTACTTGATGTTCTGTTAATCCTGTGTCTGAGAGAGAGAGGTTTAAAATTGATATGATATATTCTGAAACACGACTGGCATTAATTTGTACGACTTGGTGCATAGTAGAAAATAGCCCTTGAATAGGGAATCATCTTGATGTTCTTGATCTCTCCTGGTGTTTGTCTTTTTATTTTAAAGTGATCTTTGCCCTCCTCCCTTCTGTCAATAAAATGTTTAAATATTTTTGAGAATGAGAAATGAGTACTTAAAAAACATACTTTGGGTGAAAATGGGGTTCTTCACATTGTATTTTTGGTGATTAGTGATAATTTAGTGAATTGATTGACTTGCTTCTCAGTTTAGCAGAACATACATACATATCTTAAGCCAACAGCAACTCTTACCTCAAATAGGGATAAGGGGGCCCAAGGGTAGAATAGATATACACATAATATCTGCTTCATTTCCAGATTATTTTCTTATAAATTATCTTTTACCTTTTAAAAAATTGTGCAAATTATTTTTAAAAACAATTTGGCTTTTTTTGGTATATTTTAAGTATGTTTTAACAAACTGAGGAACGTGACCAATATAAAATATCCTCAGTATTTGAATCTTAAAGTGTAGTTTTAGTATTGTTCCACAATCAAAAACATGTAAAAGAGCCCTGGCTGGTATGGTTCAGTGGATTGAATGCCAACCTGTGAACCAAAGGGTCCCTTGGTTCGTATTCCCAGTCTAGGGCACATGCCTGGGTTGCAGGCCAGGTCCCTAGTAGGGAGCGCGCAAGGGGCAACCACACATTGATGTTTTTCTCCCTCTCTTTCTTTCTCCCTTTTCTTCTCTATAAATAAATAAATATATTTTTAAATTAAAAAAAAACATGTAAAACAAAATTTGAGCAAACAAGTGTTATTAAAGTAGCTTAAAATGATTATTCTTTTTTTAATGTAGTTTTATAATGGCCTTACTAGTTTATGTTATGGTTTTTGATGTCTAAGTTCATAATAAATCCTGTGAAAGGGGACTTTTTGGAAATAACTAAATGAAACTATTGGCATTACTGTTTAACTCATTTACATTTTACCTGGATGCTAAATATAAGTTGCTTTGGGTGATAAACTGGTAGACAGTTAACTGAAAATTTATTGTACATGAACTGGTTTTGACTGGTTTTTAGGCTATGGGAAGCTGGTTGGAAGCAGCGGTACTACAAGAACAAATTTGATGTTGATGCAGCTGATGAAAAATTTCGTCGTAAAGTTGTACAATCTTATGTTGAAGGGCTCTGCTGGGTTCTTCGATATTATTATCAGGTATAAAAATAATTATTTTCTTCTAAATCTCCAGCTGATTTTAGGAAGAGCGATTTCTGTAATGATGTGTGTTAATGAGCTATATTCTGAAATTAACAGAACAGACTCCCTTTTTATAAGTTTCTTATTTAGAAGTTCATTACCTTAAATAATACTTGCTTGTAAAGTGCCTTAAATGTTAATATATAAACAAAGCTAATTTTTGGTGTTTTAAAGAATTTCATCATTAAATTCTGTGGTTGTGTACTTTGTCTTTAATATGATTAAAATTGGTGTTTTTTAATAATCTAGAAAATGTTAGTAACAATTTGAAAGGAATTCAACACCTGGAAAATGCTCATAACAGTTTGAAAGGAATTTGAATGATATCCTTTCCTCCATGTAATGTATTGATGTTACATGAAGTACATTCTAACTGGAGTAATCTCTGACTTAAAGCCTTTGATAACTGAGATGTCAGACTGGTGAGAGATTAGGTAAACATATATAGGATATAACATTGTTAGATGATACCTGGTATGGAAAGCGAACCAAGTTAGGTTTGGTGTGACCTGGGAATAGATGAAGTTTCTTGGTAAGGAGAAATTTTTTTAATGCACTAAACAGTCATACGATACTGATTGTAAAATATTCTAATTTCGTATTTTATTCCTACCATTAAGATTTTAATTCCTTAGGCACAGAATCAAAACACATATCAGGCAGGCTCCTCTTTTCTATGACTGTAACTTGCTTTTGCTTTCTTTTTGAATGGTTTACTTAAAATTTTTTTATAGTAAATAGAAAGTTGTCCCATGAAAATATAATAGGGAATTGCAAAATGAAACTTTTGGCTATTTTACTCTCAATCTTGTTTTAGTGATGCCCCTTACTCATCTGTATAAATTCAGTGTCAGCTGCAATGGCTGCTTTTCATTATATTTGATAATGGCAGCTATAGAGTTGTAGAAAAATGTCACAAAACACATTTTAAGGATAAAAAATTTAACCAAATTATGTCTGTAAATGTGAAGTTTTGTGTTGATTGATTATTAAAGATGCTTTGCAGAAACTTCAGATTTTATCAAAACAATATTTAGTACTGGTGGAAAAAATCAATATATCGAATATATAGTAGAAGTGTGTTTTATCAATGGAATATTGTAGATTAATAGTCTATTATTTGTTTTTATGCTTTGACTATTATTAACAGAGTTTTGTTGTTGTCTTTAATGATTATAGGGCTGTGCTTCCTGGAAGTGGTATTATCCATTCCATTATGCACCATTTGCTTCAGATTTTGAAGGTATTGCAGACATGTCTTCTGATTTTGAGAAGGGCACTAAACCAGTAAGCTTGATTATTTAGAGCCATTTTAATTTCATAGAATTTTGGCTTAGATAGAAATATCTTAAACTTATTTAAACTTTTTTCTTTCTTGAAGTTTAAACCACTGGAACAACTTATGGGAGTTTTTCCAGCTGCAAGTGGTAACTTTCTACCTCCATCATGGCGGAAGCTCATGAGTGATCCAGTGAGTCTTAGTATTTGGAGTGTGTTGGTAACTGGGTTTTTTTCATGTGTTTTACTAACATTAATCACAGTCGCTTTTGCATCTCAGGTGCGGAAACAAAATAAAAGTTTTTGAGTTCTAGTGTATATTTTTCACTACGTTTTCCCTCTGCATTTCATGTCATCAGTACCCCACCCCGTAAATAAAATTGATTTGTGTTTTGGAGAAATTCTTATGACAAGTTCTTTTGTTCTCAGCTTGTTTTTACTTGTTCCAGCCCTGTGTGGTGCCAACAAGAGCTTCAGATACTGATCTATCTGAAATCACTCTTGAGCTCGTTTTGTGCGCTAACTAGAAAGAGTGAAACCAAAACATAAAGTAGAAATTTTTAGTCAATAAACTAGCTCACTGTGGTGGGTCCACAGTTGTCAGCTCTACAATTCTATAATAATGACTTTTTCCCTATCATTTAAAATTTTTTTTTTTTTTACTAGATCTAAGGTTAATGACCTGACATCTTAACAGTTTTTAGAAGGAATGAAACCTCAGTGTCTCATCAAGCTTGATAACTTAAATGAAAGTTTTATCAAATTCTATCTAACAGAACATGTAACTTTTGTTTTGATTTTTTTCTCCCTGATAAAGGATTCTAGTATAATTGACTTCTACCCTGAAGATTTTGCTATTGATTTGAATGGGAAGAAATATGCATGGCAAGGTAAAATATAGACATTATTTCTTTTAGATAAAGTAATTTTAACTTGTTGGCAAAACTGAGCAAGCATGACTTATGGGATAAAAGAATTTTTATAAAAAATATTTTAAGAATTATATGTTAAAATTTAATATTTTTATTTAAACTGGGATTAGCAATGATTAATAGTAATTTTAATAGTAATATTCTGATAAACAGTAAAGTGGGTTGAAGTAGATTAATCATCATATCTTTTGTCTTTGATTAAATTGTGAGACTTGGGTCTTGCTTATTCCAGTTAGCAGCTCATTGATACCTTGTTAGGTTTCTGAGAGACTATGTCTGTGAAAATTGACTTGTACTCCATGAAAACTTTTGAAAAATATATTAGAGACTTAGTTTAAATACTTAACGTTAATATTTATTTTCTCATACCTTCTGTTCACAAATCTTATAAGAATGACAATATAAAATTAGTACTAAATTCAAGATGCTATTTTACCACTCAACAATGTGTGATAGTGATTGACTGTAAAACACAATAATATTGAGTCTCTCACACAGTAGCTAAATATTGTATCACACCAGTGTCCCTTTCAGCAAAATCATTTTAACCATTTCTTCTACCATATATGAGGGAAGAACCCCCCCCCCCCAAAAAAAAACCATAATTATCTTCTGGAGGGCAGGCCCCTCTGGTACATGCTTCTCCAGCCAGGTTAGTGTTCTAGGAACCCATGTGTACCATTGTACCAACTGGTGGTATTGTCAGAGGTTTCATTCAGCTTCCATGAAGTTTTTTTAAGACTCAGCATGTTTGCCCATTTTGTGATGGGTGATTTAGGAACTCACCTGCCCACACATTACTAAGAGTTCCATTTTTAACCAAAAATGGCATGAACCCCATGCCCCACCCACCCTCCACCTGATCTTGCCCCAGGGGACTCTTTTTGTTTCTTCATAAAAAGTCCTCAGAGGAGAGAGATTTTGCTGATGTGAAAGAGATGAAACAAAAAACAGCAGAAGCAAAAAGGCGTCAAAATTGATGAGCCCAAACACTGTTTTGAGCAGTGGAAAAAACATTTCAATTGGTATATTGTATTAAATGGAGAGAGTACTTTGAAGATGTCTGAAGTTTTAAATATGAGAGAATAAATACACAAGTTTTTATTTTCTCCAGGTATTTTTTGGATCCCCCCTCATATTTTTCTGGGATATACTCAACTTAGGCAAGGCAAGATAATGCCTAAGTAATTCTGGGATAATGCCTAAAAGAAAATATGGTAAAATCATATTTTCTCTTTTTCCTTAATTATTCCCTGTGATATAGATGACTAATAAAATAACTCAAAGAGTTATAGGACAGAAGGAACTAAGTAATAATTTATAGTTGAAAATCATTACTTTTTGAGAATTTTAGGGTTGACTTTTGGTTTGTATAGTAACAGAAATTTCATTTACTTTAGTGGAATGATAATGGGAAATGTAACCCATTGAATGGGGTTAAGTTTTGTGCTCTGTGGTCATATTTTGTTATATGCAAATGGATTGGGTGTTAGGTGGTTTTTTAATGTGCTTTATGATGAAAGAGGAAGGATAGGAGAAGGGAAGGGAAGGTGGTAAAGTAAAAATACACGTACATATATTTATATTTTAAACTAGCATTTGCGTGGGTTTATTGAATAAATATGTAAGTATGCAGGTGGTTTGCTGATTATATCACTGTATTATAGTATAAATCCTTGGGAGGAAAAGTAAGGCAGTCACAATAGTTACAATTTTTTCACATCCTCGCCAATATTTGTTAGTTTCCAGTTTTTTGTTTTTGATAATAACCATCCTAATGAGTAAGAAGTGGTATCTCACTGCTTTTGACATTTATTTTCTTAATGATAATTGACAGTGAGCATTTTTTATGTACTCATTACCTATTTCTATATCTTTGAAAATGTTTATTCAAGTTCTTTGCCTATTTTTGAATTGGGTTTTTATTGTTGTATAGTAGGGATACTTTATGTATTCTGGACACTGGTCTCTGGACACCAGTCTCTTACATGACATGCATATATTTTCTCACATTCTGTGGGTTGACTCTTCACTCTGTTGGTAGTGTTCTTTGATGCATAAAAGTATTTAATGTTAATGAAGTTCAGTTTGTATTGGACCTCTTGTTGCCTCTGCTTTTGGTATAATATTCAAGAAATTATTGCTAAATTTAATGTCATGAAGCTTTCTCTCAACATTTCCTTCTAAGAATTTTTAGTTCTAGTTCGTACATTTACGTCTTTGATTCATTTTGAATTGATTTTTATATATAGTATAAGGTAAGGCTTTAACTTTATTCTTCTGCATCCAATTTCCCAGTACCATTTATTGAAATGATTGCCTTTTCCCCGTTGAATGGTCTTGGCCCCCTCATTGAAAATCATGTGACTGTATATAGTAAGGGTTTATTTCTTGGCCTTTTCTTTATATTGATCAATATGCCTGTTTTTATGCCAGTACCATACTATTTTAATTAGTGCATTTGCCAGTATCATGCTAATTAACTACAGTAGCAATAAATTTTGAATCAGGAGGTGCAAGTCCTCCCACTTTATTTTTCTTTTCCAAGATTGTTTTGGCTATTTGGGGTCCCTTGAGATTCCAAATGAATTTTAGGATGGTTTTAAATTCAGACCTTTAATGTTTTTATACTTCATATAATAGCTTATTTAAATATTTTAATTTATTGGCTCTGTAGCAAGAATGCATCTTTCTTGAGGTAACAGTACTATTAGGAGATAGTTATTTTCTCATATATATCTTTAAAACTTAGTAAAAGTAATTCTTGTCTAAGTTGAGTACATCTTAAAAAGGTAAATTGAATGTATCTGGATACTTTTTCAGCATTTATTGAACATGTGTACTCAGCAACATTATATGTAATAAAAATGTGTTCTCATAATATGTGCTTAGTATGTATACGAGGAATATTGCATAGTCGTTTTGAATGCTAGGTATTATATATATGAACAGAGAATTTAAGTAATTTGACCAGTTAAAAAGTATCAGAACAAAGATCTGAACCCATAGACTTGACCATCGTGTTTACCTTACTTAGGCTACCTATTGGTTGTTGAGAGGGTTAAATGAGCTAATGTGTGTAACATAGAAAATAATTGCTAAGACAAAAAGTGGCTGCTATTGTCATTTTTACTGTCCACACCCTCTCAGCCACTACCATTTTCACATCTGGGTATAAGGTATTCCTTCCTATCCTGGCCATTAGGGCTGATTTCCTATTTAGTAACATAGTAACATTATTGCTGTCATTAGCACTGCAAGTTGCTTAACTGGAGTTAGCTTCTAATGTTGATAGTGTAGGAAAGTCTGATAATTTGTTTAGATCCTGTATCTTGTAGATAGTAAACAAAAGATAGATAATGTAATAGTTTTTCATGATACAATTTTTTTAAGTGTATGATTAAATAAAACTTGAACAACTCCCTAGGTTTTTTTTTTCCATGTGTTCGCCAATAACTGAAATAGCCTGACTCAGATGATAGGTGTTTATATCCTTGGGATCACTTTTTAGACCCTTCAAAATTCACATTAAAACTTATTTCTTTTTAACTCTAAAATATTCCAGGTGGTAAAATTGAACATGTTTTCTAACCTTGAAAATATGGTAGCTAAATAATTACTGACAACTTAGGAAATCTTTTCATTTATCATTTTAAAGGCAATAACAAATACAGCAGTTTTGAGTGACAATAGTTTCCAAATTATTTAGCTCTATTTAGTATTTCTCATTACTATTTATCTTGAAGTTTTTATTTAGCCAAAATACTATTTAGTGTATATACCAGAACATATATAACTTCAATAACACTGCATATTTTTCTAGTAATAGGTACTGTTCTTACTAGTGTGCTCTTTGGAAATTATGCATGTATGTTCAAATAAAACAATGACCTTAATTCTAGCACACTTTAGAGAACAATTTTCAGCCTGAAAATGAACATTTGTGTTACACTGCACCCTGCCTCCCCCCCAGTTATTTAAGCAAGTTTTAAAAAATATTCTGTATATAAATTATTAGGTTTTAAAATGTAAACAGGATACTATGCAGGTTTAGAGTTAGAAGAGACATTTCAAATATTCTAGTTGAAAAGACCTTTTGTGTATTTTAGCTGTATGATTTTTTTTTTGAGGGTGGTGGTCAGGGGTTGGAGAGAGAGAGAGAGAGGCATCAATCCATTGTTCCAATATCCTCCCCAACTGGAAATCAAACTGACAACCTTTTGGTGTACGGGACAATGCTCCAACCAACTGAGCCACCCAAAGGCACTGTATGATCTGTTTTTACAAAAGAACAAACCAAGTCCTAGAAAGATGAAAGGATAACCTCAAGCCCTTGGGAGATTAGCTGTCTTGATCAAGAGCATCCTTATAAGTAAGGCCAGAACATAAACTGATGTCCAGGTGGCCACTTACTTGTTCAATTAATTGAAAAATTTTATCATCAGAGTTAAGATTCAACAAACATGGTTTTTCTACATGAGCCATTTTAAGGATGGGAAATATAAAAAATCTTTGCTTTTAATACCATGTAAAATATATTTACATCTTAATTTTATCTAAATACAAGGAAGGATACTCTACTAGAAATGTTTATTGGTAAACCGATGGTAAGTTGAAATTTAGATGATCCTAATAGCTGGGGTGGGTGGTGTGCATTTGTGTCTCCAGGTGTTGCTCTGTTGCCATTTGTGGATGAGCGGAGGCTGCGAGCTGCCCTAGAAGAGGTGTACCCAGACCTCACTTCAGAAGAGAGTAAGAATTATAGTTCTACTTGGTCATCAGTTAGTCTGTGTAATATAGACTTTACATTTTCTTGTAAAATTCAGCCCTCTTTTTTTATTTGTCAAATTTCTCAAACAGGACACAAACCATTTGTTTTAACTCTTTATAACAAAAGTTAACTTTGCTTCTTAAAATTTACTCATAAATTAAATAGTAATTAAATTAAAAGTTTTAAGTTACAATGTTAAATTTTTTTATTTTTATTTTATTTTTTAAAGATTTTTAATTTATTTATCTTTAGAGGGGAAGGGAAGGAGAGAGGGAGAGAAACATAAATGTATGGTTGCCTTTCGTGCATCCCCTGCTGGGAACTGGCCTGCAACCCCAGTATGTGCCCTGACTGGGAATCAAACCGCGATTGTCTGGTTCGCAGGCCCGCACTCAGTCCACTGAGCTGCACCAGCCAGGGCGATGTTTGTTAAATTTATAACAAGCACCACTTCAAGAATATCCTTTAACTTTTTGATTCTTATATGACACGCACTCACAAAAGGATTTTTGTGTGTTAGGGAGGTATTATTAATTTCCTCCCTCTCCCTTTTCCTATCATCTCCCCTAAATAATAAAAATTTTGCTTGACAGGTTAAGTTGAAACAAAAGCATTTGCCCTTAAGAATGCTAACTTTGAAATGTTATGCACAAAGAGTGGTATTTTGTCATACTACTGACAGTTCAAAGTATAGGGAAACTGCAAAGCTGAGCGCTACTGAAATATTTATTCAGTACCAGTATAATAAACTTATAGGACTAATTTGTCTAGCAGCCATCCTTAGAATAACTTTTGTTAGATGGTAGTGTTAGATTCCCTAAGGAAGTACAACTTGTGTTTCTTCAGGGAATGTTCAGAGTAAGAAATTGAATTCTGTATAAATATGAAAACTTCATCTTTTATCTTGCAATGTTATATTCAGATATTTTTTAGTGATAATTTTTCTGATAGTCATTGATCTTTGAAACTTGGTCAGAATTTTATTTCTATAAAGACTGCATATGTAGGTCTTGTTGTTTTTAAATATTTTTGTAAACTTACAATTACGTTTTTAAAATTTAGATAATTCTTTTTTCATTCTCATAAGTACCACTCTTGCAGATGTATTTGTTCTTTATTCTTTTCTTACCTTCCCCATAGCTAAAAGAAACAGTCTTGGAAGTGATGTCTTATTTGTTGGGAAATACCACCCCCTCTATGACTTCATTGTAGAGCTATACCATACAGGCTCCACAGAGGTATGATCTGTTTTTCAGTCATGAAGAGTGTTTTTAGACTATAATTATTTAGTTAATTAATCAGGAGTGTGTTTTTAAGATTTTGGTGAAATAAAAAAATTCACTGCTTTAACCAATTTTAAGTTTATAGTTCAGTGGCATTAAGACCGTACACAATACTGTGCAACCATCACCAGTATCCATTTCCAAAACATTTTCATTTTTCCAATCAGAAACTCTACCCACTAAATAATATCAATAAACAGTACCTTCCCATTTTTTACTTCCCACTCTTTGAACCTCTCTTTTACTTTCTGTCTCTATGAATTTACCTGTTCTTAATACTTCACATAAATGTAATACTCACATATTATACAATATTTGGTTTTTTGTGTTTCCGATTCATTTCATTTAGCATGTTTTCAAGGTTAATGCAAGTTGTAGCATGAGGCAAGAATTTTACTTAACCTTTTGTGGCTGAATAATATCCGTTATATGTACTGTATATAGCACATTTTGTCCATCCATTGATCTTTTGTTAGGAACTTGAGTTGTTTCCATCTTTTGGATGTTAAGAATAATGCTACTATGATTTTGGTGTACAAGTATGTGTTTGAGTCCCTGCTTTCCATTCTTTTGGGGTATAAAATCAGGAATGCATTTATTCACAGCCAGTGGATTTACCACCTGAACTATGTCATGGGATTCAAGGAAAGTTTTCTTTGGATGAAGAAGCCATTCTTCCAGATCAGTAAGTATTCATTTGTGTGTAATTGGGGTAACTGGGACTAAATTTAGTTAACATTTTTACCTCATTGCCTGAATATTTTATTTTGTAGTAATAGTGAGAAAACAACACAACAGGAAACCTGTTGGACTAAAAAAAATCTTGATGTGAAAGCCCAGCTCTTTGATATTAATAGCTGTGTCACTTTGTATAGGGAGCCCAGGCGGTCCCAAAACCCTTTCAGGAAAGCCACAGGGTCAAAACTATTTTCTTAATAATACAAAGACATTATGGTGTTATTTACCATTGTCACTCTATCATGCTACATTTAGCCTCCGGAAAACTATACTGCATGCTCAACAGAGAAAAATCTCAAGAAATTGAATCAGAAGCATATAAGAGAATACAGCTATTAAGATAGTAAAGAATGATGTGCTCATTTGTTTTGCTTTGTAAAATAGTTGTTTTTATTTAAAATGTTATTTAACTTAACATGCAATAGGTGTATTATTGGTATCTTTAAATTAGTAATTTTAAAATTCATTTCATTTTTTGATAGATAAATATTGATTAAAACCAAAATAAAAGTCTTTGGGGCCCTTAGTTTTTAAGAGTTTAAAAGGGTTCTGACTAAGGTCAGATTTTCAGAGCTGCTGCTCAAAGGTGTACATCCAGGAATAAAATTTGCTGGTCACGAGTATGTGTTTCTTTATTTTTTCTAAATAATATTGGGTAGTCTTCCAAAGTGATTACACTGTTTTTATAATCTCAACAGCAGTTTGTGAGAGCTCTTGTTACTTCTGTTCTTGCAAAACCCTTGGAATTGATCACAAACTTAATTTTTGTCCATGTGAGAGCTCTTGTTACTTCTGTTCTTGCAAAACCCTTGGAATTGATCACAAACTTAATTTTTGTCGTCTGATGGGTGCTGTTTGGCATTTTGTTGTGGCTTAGAGTTGTATTTCTTTGATTACTAATGAGGCCATATATTTGGCTTTATTCATTTATAAAATACCTCTCCTATTTTTCTCTTTATTTATCTGTTCCTCCACACCCTTTTTGGTTTGTACCATAGGCATTTCTTTACAAATTCTGGTAAGCCCTTTGCTCACAATTATTTTATGTTAATGAGATTATAGACTAGGCAGACACAGTCCTATTTTAAAGATGTAAATGATTATGATATAGTTTTTGTTGGTGTGTTTTAATGATTTCTCTTTCTTAAAGCCTAATAAACATAGCAACATCTTACTTCTACTTATCTAAAAAGTTACACTTTACAAATAGATTCTTCTTCTTTTGTTATTCCTTAGAATAGTATGTTCTCCTGTTCCCATGTTACGGGATCTGACACAGAACGCTGCAGTCAGGTAAGTTTTTCAAAATTCATGGCATTCAGAACACAGCTCTGAACCTGCAAATAAGTTTAAGAAGATGTCTGATTCAGAATGAAATGGCAGCTTTTATTCCACCAATGCTTTGAGATTAGAGAAGTTCGTGTGTTGCAGACCTCAGAGCAGAGCCTCTTGACTTTAAATTACATATATTGTTAAGGTTACTGATTTTCTTCTCTGCTTTCTGGTTTCCCCTGACAACCTCTAATTTTTCCCGGATTAGGAAAGTGGGAGATAGAAAGTAGGAGTTTCTAGGGAGAGTTTGCTGTTAAGGTAGTAAACAGAGCTCTGCACACCAGAAACCCATACAGTTTCACTTTAAAATAGCATCATTTTAATTATATGTGTGGCCCGGTAGAATTTAAAAATAAAACTGTTATGTACTTTATTTTGGTTAAGATGAAATAGAATAAATTTCTAATCTTGTTGACAGCGTTTGTTATTTTTTCAGTCTTTAGAGGATAGTAAGGCAAACATATCCTAGTAAATCAGGGATTTTTGTAAAAGCTATTCATAAATTCTCCTTTCCCGCTCATTCTTATTATTTCTCTCACTTGGAAAATATTTTTGATTTTACTTATATTGCTCTTTGTGAAATGTAAGCATGTTTATATTCCTATATTTTAATGGATTTAGAGAGCAACTGTTATACAAGAAAGGCTTTTATTTAAAGAAAACCATTGTGAATTTAGAAAATCTTTGTAGATTAGTTGCTTTTGTTTATCTTCACACATAATTTGTCCTCACTCTTTGTCCTTGGGCTCTTTTGTTAAGGGTGGAGTTTAGAGTTGTAAGCCATACTCCCATGCCCATTAGGAACAATCTGGCTCCTACAGATCTGGTGTGGACATTCTGTATTAACACTTGGGGTCTCTCTGGCTTGCTACAGTGCTTCAGGCCAGTTAATCCTACCAGTTCTGTCTTTGGATTGTCGCATGTTTACTTGTATTCCTCAATTTCTGTGCATGTTTTCTAGGGCCTTCCTCCCCAGCCCTCTAGAAATAATGAATTTTACTTAACTTTCTAATTAGAAGGATAGAGAGTATTGCCCAAGGGAAGAGTTTTAAAATTGACAAATCCTGGAGTTTTTTATTATATGTTGTTGGTGGCGGTCGTTTTTTAATCCTGAAAAGGCCTTTGGTATTATTTGTTATCTATTGTGTTCACAAGATTATTAAATTTATAAAGCAAATCTCGGATCCAGGTGCTTATTCAGGTATATGTTAAAAATAACTTCAAATTAAAAATGATTTCATTGAGTTAATATCTTAGGGATTCCTGAAACCAAAGTTAACTTTTACATTATGAGTTAATTTTCAGTGTTTTCTTAGAGGGGTACTGTTGACGACAAGATTCAATTTACTGCAGTTTTGGGTTTGTATCCTGGTGTTGTATTTGCTTTATATACCTAAATTTGACATCTGGTCAGGGTGGCAGCATAGGTAAACACGGCTCACCTCCTCAACAACCACACCAAAATTACAACTGAAATATAAAAAAACCATCACTCAGAACTATCCAAAGTTGGATTGAATGGAAGTCTTTGACAACTACGGAATTAAAGAAACCATATCCATCCGGACTGGTAGGAGGGGTGCAGAAGCAGAATGGGCTAGTCCCACATCCATGTGTGGTGGATAAAAATTAAAGAGGGATATATTGGGAGTGAGGAGTCCTAGCCCCACACCAGGCCCCCCAGTCCAGGATTCCAGTGTGAGGAAGGTAAGTCCCCATACTTTTTGGCTGAAAAAAATCAGTGTGGATTAATCAGTGGAAGAAAATCCTGGAATCCGAAGCAGTTCTTCCTAACCCATACGTGGGACTTCTTCAGACTAACTACACCTGAGCTCCAGCACTGGGGTAGCAGGTTAAGGCACCAGTGGCATACAGGGAGAAATGCAGTGTCTGGCATTAGGGCGACGGCTGGGGGACAGCTTTCTCCCAGACAGAAAGGTAGACAGAAGTCATTGTCCCTTTTCAGAACCCTCCCCCAACAGAGCCACAGAGCCAGCAGGCTGGAGTCATATCTGAGACACCATGAACCTGGCTGACATTGTTCATTCTTTGCCCCACCCTGGATATGCCCCAAGACTATCCTACCAAATTTTCGGGCCCACCCAAGCTGCTTTTCCATATGAATGGCTGGTCTTGACTCTTAGTTAAAACCTTCCTAAATCCTATCAAACAAGCAACTGCCAGCCTCAGGAAGTCCTCAGTCTCCATACCTCTTGTTCAGTGGCCCCAGGCATAGCACCAACAGGAACCAGCTTAAACCAGCTGTGAAGCTGGGCCCAGCACAAGCAGCAGCCATCTCAGATTGCTTTACAGCTCAGGCAGGGTTGGCCCCAGGCAAAACACAGGTGGGGGGTGACCTTGGCCTTCATCACCCAGGATACCCCAAAGCCAGTGCATTCACTGAATGACACAGTCATAACAGCTCTAGAACAATCACAGGGAAGCTGCCAAAATGAGCAGATGAAGAAACATGGCTCAAATGAAAGAACAGATAAAAACTCCAGAAAAGGAGCTGAATAAAATTGAAATAAACAATTTCTCAGATGCAGAGCTCAGAATACTGGTTATAAGGATACTGAAGGAACTTAGTGAGGATTTCAACAGCTTAAAAAAAGATCCATTCAGGAAATGAAGAATACACTAAATGAAATAAAGTACAATTTACAGATAAACAACTGTAAAGTGAATGAGTGGATGGAGCTGAAAATCAAATGAATGCTTTGGAACATAAGGAAACAAAAACCAATCAGAACGGGAAGAAAAAATCCAAAAATATAAGTATACAGTAAGCAGCCTCTGGGACAACTTCCAGTGTTGCAATATTCACATCATTGAGGTACCAGAAGGAAAAGAGAAAGAGCAAGAAATTGGAAATCTATTTGAAAAATAATGAAAAGAACTAGGTGAAGGAAATAGACATGCACAGTCTCAAACAAGATGCAAGTCCTGGAAGCACAGTGGCAAATAAGGTGGATGCAAAGAGGCCCATGCCAAGACACATCGTAATTAAAATGCCAAAGGTTAAAGATAGAGAATCCTTTTTTTCTTTTGTTTTTTTTACATTTAATATATTTTATTGATTATGCTATTACAGTTGTCCTATTTTTTCCTACTCCTTTTTTCCCTCTGCCCTGCACTCCCCCGCCACCATCATTCTTCTACCTTAGTTCATGTCTATGAGTCATACATGTAAGTTCTTTGGCTTCTCGATTTCCCATACTATTCTTAACCTCCCCCTGCCTATTTTATACTAACCATTTATGCTTCTTATTCCCTGTACCTTTCCCTCATTACCTCCCCCCCCCCACTGATAACCCGCCATGTGATCTCCATTTCCGTGAATCTGTTCCTGTTCTACTTGCTTGCTAAGTTTATTTTTGTTTTTCTTTTTGTAGATTCGGTTGTTGATAGTTGTGAGTTTGTTGTCATTTACTGTTTGTATTTTTGATCTTCTCCTTTTTCTTAGATAAGTTCATATAACATTTCGTATAATAAGGGCTTGGTGATAATGAACTCTTTTAACTTGACCTTTTCTGGGAAGCACTTTATCTGCCCTTCCATTCTAAATGATAGCTTTGCTGGATAGAGTAATCTTGAATGTAGGTCCTTGTCCTTCATGACTTTGAATACTTTTTTTCCAGGCCCTTCTTGCCTATAAGGTTTCTTTTGGGAAATCAGCCGATAGTCTTATGGGAACTCCTTTGTAGGTAACTGTCTCATTTTCTCTTGCTGCTTTTAGGATTCTCTCCTTATTTTTAATCTTGGATAGTATATTATGATGTGCCTTGGTGTGTGCTTCCTTGGGTCCAGCTTCTTTGGGATGCTCTGAGTTTCCTGGAAGTCTGTTTCCTTCACCAAATTGGGGAAGTTCTCCATTATTCTTTCAAATAAGTTTTCAATTTGTTGCTCTTCCTCTTCTCCTTCTGGCACCCCTATGGTTTGAATGTTGGAACATTTAAAGTTGTCCTGGAGGTTCCTAAGCCTTTCCCCAGTTTTTTGAATTCTTGTTTTTTCATTCTATTCTGGTTGGATGTTTATTTTCTCCCTTCTGCTCCAAATTGTTGATTTGAGTCTCGGTTTCTTTCCCTTTACTGCCGGTGCCCTGTCCGTTTTTCTCTATTTCACTTTTCATAACCTTCACTTTTTTCTCTATTTTGCGACCGTACTTAGCCATTTCTGTATCATGATTACCAGTGTTTTGAACTCTGCATCTGATAGGTTGGCAATCCCTTTGTCACTTAGTATTTTTTCTAGAGGTTTGATCTGTTCTTTTATTTGGGGCATATATTGTTGTCTCGGTACATCTGTTATATAGTAAGGGGTGGAGCCTTAGGTATTCACTAGGGCACAGCAACCCATCTCACTGCATTGGGGTGCTGTATGTGGGGGAGGGGTCTGACAGGGAACAAGGGCTGCTTGCTTAGCTTTCTGCTGGCTTTCAGTCACTTCTTCCATTTCACACAAGTAAACTGGGCCCTCTATTGCTGATTCCCAGGAGGCTTGCCCTTTGTACCTTCTAGGACCTTGTAGGTCTCTCCAACAACCTCTCCTGTGAGGCTGTGAGTTTCTCCCACTGACCCCTGAGGTTTTTTCAGTCAGATCTTCTGAGCCTTTATTTTTCTACGCTGGAACTCTTCTTACTTGGTCTGTATTGCTCCCCAGTTGTGCCAGTTATCAGTTTGCAAATTAGCCACTGCCTTGTCAGGTATCCTCTCCACCCCTCCTACCAGGCTAGATGAATGTTTCTTTTAATTCCTTGGTTGTCAGACTTCCATACAGTTTGATTTCCTGGCAGTTCTGGTTATTTTTGTTTTAAATTTGTTGTTTTTTTTTCTTTTGGTTGTGCAAGGAGGCAAAGTGTATCTACCTACCCCTCCATCTTGGCCAGAAGTAAAGAGAGAATCTTAAAAGCAGCAAGAGAAAAGCAGTTACCATATTTTGTCCTGTATAGTGCAGGACCT